GCTTCCCTGATGGCTGGTACTCTCTGCCAGTGGCTCACAGGAACTGGAAATCTAGTTACTGCCACTTTCCTCCAGACTTCAGCAGCTTCATCATGGCTCATGCCCATGGCCTGTCTGACCCAGTAGGACTCCTCTCTTCCCATGTCAGCCACTTCCCTGGGCTCCAGGTGTTGCTGTGAAGACACGGTCAGACTCTGACTGCCTTTGACTGTGACAGGCACACCCCCACACCCACTACCCCCTGCCCTGTTCCCTGAGCCCTGGCAACTCCCAGAGCTGAAATACCCTTCTCTAGGTAGACACAGTTCACTTCCTCACTTCCTTAAGATTGTGTCCCGCCAGCTTTTGTGGGTGGCCCTGATGGTTCTCTTTGAGAGTGCAGCTCCTCCACCCTATAGCATCTAATGCCAAACCACAGGAAGGTCAGGGATAAGGCACACTCTGTAGTACTCAGGGCTGACTCCCAGCTCTGAGCTCAGGGAGCACTCTGGATGGAGCTTGGGAGACCATTATGAGGTGCCAGGGATCAAACTGGGGCTGGATACATCCACACACCGATTTTTTATTTACTTGTTTTGCCTCCTTTTCCCTTTCTGGATGGAATCTGGCAGTTGTGGGATGAGCTCAGGAGTGGCTTGTGAGGGTGACAGACCCTTCACAAACTGCCCCTTCTGCCATTCTGCTATTTCCTGTCAGGCAGCCACAGCGATTTTCTAAATTATACCCTTTCATCCTTGGGGTCATAGGGTCCCTGGGGGTCATTGTCTGGGAAGCCTAGCGATGCTTGTAGGATTCCCACAGGCTTACCCTAAGAAGGGAGAGAGAGAGAGGTGACAGTCTTTCAAAGGAAATCTACCGCTTTCTCTCTATTCACCTCTTCCACCCAGGAATGGTTGGGGACATCCAGTACTGATAAGAGTCAGGGTGAGCTTGGCTCCCTACAGGAAAGGAAAGTCAGTCCCGAGCCAGACTCAGGTTTGTCGTCTTTCTCAGAAAAGAATTTCAGGAGGAGATAAAGAGTGAAGCATAGCAAGTTTACTGGGAAAAAAAGGGAGCTAAGGACAGAGGTAAGAGAAGACATGTGCTCAAGAGAAAACACACAGGGGCTGGAGTGATAGCACGGTGGGTAGGGCATTTGCCTTGCATGCGGCCGACCCAGGTTCAATTCCCAGCATCCCATATGGTCCCCTGAGCACTGCCAGGAGTAATTCCTGAGCTCAGACACAGGAATAACCCCTGTGCATCACCAGTTGTGACGAGAGAGAGAGAGAGAGAGAGAGAGAGAGAGAGAGAGAGAGAGAGCAGAGAAAGCCCCACTACTCATCCCCCAGTGTTCAAGTATGAAAGTACACATCTCTAGAGGGGAGATGCGAGCAACCCGAGCCTGTGGGCACCATGTGCATGTGCTGGTAACACACGAGCCTTGATTAGAGTTCATTGCTAGGGTGGTTGCCAGGGGGGAAGGGCTGGGAGCAGTTGATGGTCTTCTATGAAGATAGTCTAAAGAAGATGGTCTTCTTTCCTGCCGTTTGTTCTTGCGGGAGAACCTCTCAGTAGGGGGCCCAGACTTTTCTGAGTCGGTGCTGGCATCAGTTAAAGGTCTTATCAGGCCTTAGTTCCCATGAGTCTAAGGGTCTAAGTTGGTTTTGTTATGTCCCAGGAATTCATTGCCAGAGTGCTCCCCTAACTCCTTGCCTGCCTGCTTCTCTAGGTCACTGGTCTCCTAGATAAGGTAGCCTCCCCCGCTCCACTTCCAGGCCTTGGGTCTCCTCCTGTCACTCTGTAATTGCTAACACTTGGTTGTTCTTTAAGGCTGAGCTGGGGTGTATAGGATTCATCTTCAGAGAGAAAGACGGTGCATGGTTAAAGGGACTCCCTGACTCAACTGCCTGGTGAAGGAGTGGCAATCTAAGCAAGTTACTTCTGTTCCCTGGGTCTCTGTTTGCTCGTTTGTAAAGTGGGTTGGAAATAACCATAGAACAGAAGGTTTTGGGCTGGAGTACAGTGGGTAAGGTGCTTGCCTTTCATATGGCAAATCTGGGTTTGATCCCCGGCACTCCATATGTTCCCCTGAGCCCACCAGGAGTGATCCCTGAGCACAGAGCCAGGAGTAAACCCTGAGCACAGCTGAGTGTAGCCCAAAAAACAAGAACAAAGAAAAGGTCACAAATAAGTCCTTTTGTTCCACTCATGGGAGCCTAGGGGGGGCGGGGGCTGCAACTTGGGGGGAAGGGGATGAACCACACCTAGCAGTGCTCAGGGTTTACTCCTGGCTCTGTGCTTAGGGATCACTCATGGGACCGTATATAGTATCGGGGGATCAAACTTCAGTTGGCCGCATGCAAGGCAAATGCCTTTTCCTTACTTTTTCCAGCCATCCACATCTTTTTTTTTTCTAGTGTTGAGAGAAAAAAAAAATCATCCTCACTAACAACCAACATTGAACAAAAGGATGTTATTCAAAGACCTGGTTCTATTAAATATTGTTCAGCTTAAAGTCAGCTTCCAATTCCATTAGCTTCAAGTATGACTTACATATCTCAGGCTGGAGCCATAGTACAGTGGGTAGGGTGTTTGTCTTGCACATGGCCAGCCCAGGTTCAATCCCCGACATCCCATATGGTCCCCCAGCACTGCCAGGAGTGATTCCTGAGTGCAGAGCCAGGAATAACCCCTGAAAATCTTTAGGTGTGATCAAAAAATAAATATAAAAGACAATTATCTCCTTGACACCTCCACAGGAAGTAGTGGCCAATGAATGTGGAGTTCCACCAGGCAGAATTAAAGGTGAAGTGAATGAGAGTTCCTCCTGTTCTTCAGTGTTGTATCCCCAGGGCCTGCCACAAGGCCTGACCCACTCTGAGTTCTCAATCTATGTTTCTTGGGAGAATGAATGAGTTTAGGGAACAAGGGTTGAGGTAGAGGCATTTTAACTGAGAAAAGGGCCCTCACCCAACCTGAGGAGTGTCAGGAAGGCATTTTTTGTTGTTTGTTTGAGGACCACACCTAGTGATATTCAGAGGTTACTCCTGGCTCTGCACTCAAGAATTATTCCTAACAGTGCTGAGGAATTCTGGGGATGGATTCTGGGTTGACTGCGTGCAAGGAAAATGCCCACCCTACTCACTAGCCTGTCATTTGGACTCCTAGTCAGGGAGACTTCTGCTGATTTCTGTATGATGAGGGAAGAGGTGGAAGGGCAGAGGAGATCTTCAGATAGTAACAGCCACCATAGGCACGAAGAGTTCTCCACCTCCTCTCCTTACATGGTGCCTGTGGGGAGTGTCAGCTAAATCCTTAGTGATGGTTCCTAATAGACAGAGGACACTGGCCATTTTGAGGACACTCTTAGGTGAGTTGTGCCCCACCCTCAGACTGGCTGGTCCTGGAAGGCAAAGCATTCATGTTGTAGCCCTCACCTCACATGAGCACCCCCTGAGCCCAGGGGAGTGAAGACAGGTGGGGTTGCCAACTGGGGGACCCCCCCCAAGAGCCAGGTCTGGATTTAACTATCTCCTGGCAGACTCATTACCCTGATCTAGAGAAGAAGAGACAGAAGTCCCCGTCACTGGTCAGTGTCAACTCCAGCTTGGTCAGCTCCTTGAGGAGGTCAACTCCTCATCACACTGGGGCTCCCCCAACTAGCTCTACCATTTCTCAGTGGGTGACATCACCCAAGACAGGGGAACCTCTCAATAGATGAATGGAAAGCAAGTTGCACCCCAGCAAGCACTTCCACAGCTTGGAACAAGACTGAAGACTGGCTGCAGAGCCCTGGCAGAGGAGGGGGGGCACCTGAGTACCAGGCGCCAGGAGTGGGTGTGAAAGACTGTGGTGAGATTGGCTGGGTAGGGCACTGGAAGAAAAGGGAACTAATGTTGAAAATAGTGGGAAACACCTTAGCCAATGCCAGCCCAGCTATCCCGTATGTTTCCCGCCTGCTCATTTGTAGATTTCCAAGTTGCCCGGCTGAGGCTGAGGCGGTCTGAGAAAGTTTTAAGGTTTAGGGTGAAGCTGGGGACCCCTGAGGAAGGTCCAAGGATTAGGGTCCAGAGCTCCAAGGATCAGGACCCCTGACACCACCCCCCGCTCCCTGGCTCTGAGACACTTTCCTCATCTCTAAAGTTCGGTGAAGCTGTCACAGCTCCTGGTGGCCAACTGTGAGGTGGGCCCCTGCCAGTTGCCATCATTAATTAGCAATAGCGGAAACTGGTTTGGAAGGGGTTAAGTAAACACCCCGCCTCCTGGCCCGGAGCGAATCAGAGCGGCGTGGGCGGAGCCAGGCTGCAGCTCCCAGAAAGTGATCTGGAAGCGCCAGAGGCTGCGTGCAGAGGGAACCCAGAAGATACCAGCCCGCCCTGGGGGGTCCTGGGGCTGGATCCGTGGCCCTTGCACCCTGACAGCTCCAAGTCAGAGGGCCAGCTGCGGGGGTGACCAGGGAGGAGGAGTCCAGCTGCCTGGACTCGCGACAGGTTGGGAAAGGACCAGGACCCACCGCCCTCCTGGACCCCACACAAGGGGCACTGGCTGTGACCAGGCCGTGGCCTCGGAGGACCCTACTAGTCCACTAGGGACATAGGGGCTAATTTTAGCTCCAGTCACAGGGCGTCTAGCCAGGAGTTCTGCCAGCAGGCATTGGGTGGCCCAAGGCTGCTTGGGAGCTGCTCAGGCAGGGGGAAATTTGGGGAGGCCAGACCAACGTCTATCCAGCGTGGAACCCTTCCAAGCCACCTTCTGCAGGCACCCCAGTGAGCCCCCCAGCACCTGGCGGATGGCCCTCCCCTGCACTGAGGGTAAGGTCAGGGGGTGCTGCCAGGCAGGCAGAGAATGCAGTCTTATGGTCTGACAGGGGAGGCGGCAGCCTGAGAAGAGCTGGGGCCAAAGGTCCTGAGTGTGACAAGCCAAGGCCAGCGGTCTGGGTGCACCCGGCCCCTTCATGCTCAGCTGTGACCCACTGCTGGACTGACACTGAAACCTGTTCTCTAGACCCCCCTGCTTCTCCCCGCAGTGCCATGGGGGTACTGAACTAGAAGTTTGCTGCCAGGCCCCTGTGGCCCACTCTGGCCACAGCACAGCCCTGTGGGGTTGGCCACATGCGCTGGCGGAGAACAAAGTCCCTCTGGCTGGTGCTGTCTGTCTCCTGGTTCATCGTCCTCCTGGGAGTCTTCCCCCTCCTCCGCCTGGCGGTGCCTGGTGGGCCACGGCCGGGGCCCCCTGCAGGCTGGCCCCGAAGGCTGGACACAGCTCTCCTGCAGGCTTTCTCCTCTCCCAGGGAGTCTCTGGAAGATGCGCCCAGACATCCTCCCACACCCCATCGTGACAGCTGCGATTGGGCAACCTGCTTCGACACTTCCAAGTGCAGGGGTGGTGGCCTCAAGGTGCATGTGCTCCCCTCAGCTGGCCCCATCTCTGAGACTGATCGCAGGATCCTGGCCTCTGTTGAGGGCTCCAGCTACTTCACAGGGAGCCCGGCTGAGGCCTGCCTGCACCTCCTCCTCAGCTCGGGGGCGTGTGCTGCAGAGACCGATCCAGTGCCGGCACAATGGAATGGGGGCAGGAACCGCCTGGTCCTCAGACTGCACCCAGATCCCTGCCCCCCGACCCTCCAGCTGGGACAGGCGATGGTGGCCCAGGTCAGCCCCGCAATGGACACCTTCCGGCCCGGCTTTGATGTGGCCCTCCCACTCCTACCTGAAGCCCACCCGCTGCGTGGTGGGGCTCCTGGCCAGTTGCGGCAGCACAGCCCCCATCCCGGGCTGGCTTTGCTGGCCCTGGCAGAGGAGGGAGGCAGGTGGCACCCTGCAGGCACCAACTCCTCTGCCTGCCCCTGGAAAGGGCATTGTCAGCAGGACCCTGGATCAGAGCAGTAAGTGGATGCTTCCTCCGGGGGGGGGGCCAGGAGGGAAGGGTCTGGGAGGGGAGAAAGCCAGGCCAGGTGGACACAGGTTACAGCCGAGGAGTCAGGTTGGACAGCAGAGAGCATAACAGAAAGTACGAGATGATTCGCCTCAAGGGGTAACCAAGGCCGTCTTTGGCGGTCTCCCTGGGGGACCTTGAGAAACAGGAATCATGACTCACTCTTACTCTGCTCCTCTGATTCCAATCCCTCCTTCCCTAACTTCGTAACTAGACCTCCTAGAGTGCCTGCTCTGTGCTATGTACTTTTGTAAATAATCACTAACAGAATAATACTAATGACTCACATGTAAGCGCCTGTGTGCTGGGCGCTGAAGCCCAAAGCTCAAAGAGATTCAGTGACTTGTCTGAGGCCACCTAGTCAGTATTTGAATTGCCTGCAGCAGGTGAGTTCTTTGAGTCTGAAGCGAGAGTGTACAGTCCAACCCATCAAATACCTCAGAGAGAGGTGGGTCACAGGTCACAGAGAGAAGCTGTTCTGTGTCTGCATGGAGAGGTGTGGGGGGGGCTCTCAAGGAAGCAAAGGAAGCAGCCTTTGGTCACAGTCACTAGGTCAGATCTGGGGAAGGGTCCCAGTAAGATTCCCATGGGGTAGGGGAGGGTTCTGAATCTTACAAGAGAGGGATCTGGCACCTATAGCGGTCTCTGAGAAGCTTCTCACTTAACACCTTCAGGTGATAAAGCATATCCCTTCTGAGCACCCCAAATCCTCTGCACCCCCAGGAGGCCAGTAGTATCTCAAGGAGTCTCCTGTTTGAGCAGGCGAGAAGGAAAGTCCTTTGGACGTTGTCCAGGCTGCTTCACATCCCCCAGACAGTTCTTTCTCCATCTCTTGGCTGACCTAAGTTGGAAGCTGCCACTCTGGAATCTCGTCTGACTCCTGCCCTCCCTCGGGCATCTCCCTTTGCTTTGCTAGAACAACCCAGGCTATTCTGAGCTCCCTCCCAGGAGCCCTCTTCAGGGCCCTGCTCCATTTTTGCCTCTACTTGGGCCTTCTGCGGCTTCCCTCGGCTCCAGGGCACCTGTGGGAATGGAATCCTCTCCTTCCAGAAGGCAGATGGTCTCCAGGCGGCCACAAGCAACTGTTGTTACCTAAAAAGCGCTGTGCACATTTTAGCAGTCATCTGAAAAACTGGGGATTCCCCTCAGACACCTCAGAACTCACCTTTGGTGACGCAGTCACCATGCCTTGGTTCACTTTTCTGTTGTTGGTGTCTTTGTTTTTTTATTTTGCTTTTGGGCCACACTGGCAGTGCTCAGAGCTTATCCTGGATCTACGCTCAGGAATCACTCCTAGCGGTGTGCTGCTTGGTATTGAATCCAGGTTGCAAGGCAAGCGCTTTAACCCAGTCCCCTGTTGTTTTATTTGGAGGGGGTTACACATGGCGGTTCTTGGGGGTCTCTGCAGTTCCAAATAATATTGAACCTGGACTTCCCACATGCAAGCATATGCTCTAACCCTTTGGACCACCTCTTTGCCCTCCTGCTCACTTTTCTGATAAAAAAAAAATCTTAGCTATTCTTGCTTCCAATAAGTTTTTTCAGTTGGCATCAGTTATAGCCAAATACAGTTGGTTATGGGCAAACTGAGAAGCTATTTCAGACTGAACTTCCCGGAGAAGCTGAAAACTGGGGAGCAGCACACACTAGGTAGGGATTCACTGTGTGTCTAGTCTCAGAATGGCCCAGAAATGGGCAAGGTTTTCTAGTCTATATATCGCACTTTCTGGGGTACATTTTCAATATATTTTTTTCCCAGCTCTGAAACTTGACAGCCTCTCACTGTCCCGTGAGCTTCAAGAAGTTCTGATCTTGGACTCTGCTCATCACAGGTTCCCGGATTTACCAGCACTGAGGGAATTTGAGCCTCGGTTTCCCTGAAGTGCCAGGTTGCTTCCTGAAGCTAGCCAGAATAGGAATGGAGCAGGAGAACCAGACCCAAGGTGGCCTGAATAAACAAGGGCTGGCCAGAGGAAGGGGTGATTCACAGTCCCCACCTCTGCTCCACATTCATTCCGCTGGCCAGAGTAGGGAATGGGCCAAGCCACCTCCGGGGGGGAGAGCCCTGGGCCTGGTGCTCTGCAGTGACTTCCATAAGGCAGGGCTCAGTCTTCTAAGGGTCCTGCAGAGAAGGACCCCCATTTCAGAAAATAGGAAGCTGAGGCTCAGAGGGTGGAGGGAGCTGGCCCAGCTCCTGATTCACCAGGGCCCCCCACTCTTCTGATCCTGTCTAGGGGGTGGGTAAGGGAGGAGTGGGGCTCAAACCCTGCCCTGCTGGCTCCAAAGCCCATGTTTTCCCACCTTGGTTGAATAGTCTCCTGTTCCTTTGGCATAAGCCTCCACCCATTTAAATAGGTATTTATTTATTTTTATGAATGGGGAATTCATTCACTGGGTACTCCGTTCCAAAGGTACAAAGGGGTCTACAGTAAAGGCTCCCTCCCCACCCTCCAGCCACCAGAACGTTGCCCCAGCTTTTCCTGAGAGACTACACTCATAGGCAGTGGGAGGCTCTGTCTCCCCCATCCCCGCTTTTTCTTGACTTGGCAGGTTTTAAAGTACCCTGGCCTGTCTCCTCTGGGTCCATGACTACGTCTTTTTTGAAAATCAGAAGAAGAAAGTTGCTTTAGGTAGGATGAAATATTTTCATAGGTAATATTACTATGTACCCACTCAAACAAATTGATGAACAGTGGGACGACAAGTGACAATATTAATATGTTTGCTTTTATACCAACAGTTATCAAAAGTGACCATATGTACTACCAAGAGTTTTTACTGGGGAGGGGGTGCCCTGGGCACAGGGAACTTAGCTGTCTATGGCCAGGTCTGGTACAGACCTGGGCCATGGGTGGAACCACACTTACTCCACAATGATCTCAATGTCCCTTCTATTACACACACACACACACACACACACACACACACATACACACACACACTTAGGTGCTTATTTACCTCTGCGAATGGGGGACTCACCCCCTCAGCCAGCTCCATGCTCAGATTTGTGCAGAAACTGACCTTTCAGACGTTCCACTGGTCAGTCGGTCAGTCCTGGATCTGTTCTCTATTGTGCACGGATTAGTCACTCTGGGACTCTGTTTTGTTGTTGTTGTTGTTGTTGTTGTGTTGGAGACACACTGTGTGAAGCAGGGAAAGGCTGTGCAAACTGTCTGTCCAGCTCTTCTTCAGAGATGTGTGTATGTGTTCTCTTAATTTTTAAAAATTTTTTGGGGGGAGGGGTTTTGGGCCACAACTGGTAGTGCTTAGGGTTTATCCTGACTCTGTACTCAGGAACACTCTTGGCAGGGCTGGGGGGACTATCTGGGGTGCTGGGGATCAAGCGTGCCTCCCATCTCCTAGGGCTACTATGAGAATGAAGCGGAGTGATACATGAAAAGCACTGAGAACCATGCTCATTATTACAGCGCTGCACATGGGCTAGGTTTCAGTCCCTTAAAGTTCTTTTGGTTCAATCAGCCTAATCAATGTCTGAGTAAATAGCAATACTCCTACATTAAATTTTAAGAAAAAAAGTTTTTTTGGTGGGCCAGAGCTCTGGCTGTGGCTTCCAATGAGGTGGACGGTGTTGGGTGTAACTGTGGCTTCTTCCAGGTGAAGCCTGGAGAAAGGTGACGAGCTTCTCTGGGACTTAACTTCTTAAACTGTGGGTTATAGCCCCCTTGTGGGCCGTGACCCTCTATGGGGTCACATAGCTTTAATCTTTATGGTCAATTATAAAAAATTGTTTGCTTCATGTACCTATTTTTATACACCTATGTACACAGAGTCAAAATTTTCTTGGGTAAAAAGGGGCTGTGAGTGGAGGTTTGAGCAGCCCGACTTCTCAGACTTTCTCATGGCGTCCCCTCTCACCCCAGAAATGCAACCAGAGGAGCATCAGCAGGACCTCCTCCTTGTGTTTGAGTTTTAATTCATTTCTGATTGTTGCATGTTCAGAAATCTTTGACTGTTGCCAAATTTTCTGTGACTCTCCCGACCACTCACATTCAGTTATGTGATCCCGTGTGGGGTACTACCCACCATTTGAGAAATGAGGGACCAGGAAACGCCTTAGGACAGTTCCTGCAGACTCTAGTTCCAGTGCCCCCCCTACCCTGTCTGTGACCTGGACCAGAGCGTGGATTTCAGAGCCTCAGTCTCCTGCCTGTGCAAGGGGTCGCTTAGAGACTTACTCATCACGCCCAGGCCAGAAGCCATAGCAGAGGAGGATCCTGCCTGGAACCCTTGAGGTTCTAGTCCCCAGTCCCACTCTGAGCAGGCCTGTGAGCCCCGACCCAGCTGGGTGGGTGGTGGGCCCTGACTCCCTGGGTGAGGGTTTCAGGGAGGTGATCTGAGGAGGCTGTGAGTCCAGCCCAGCCCTCACAGGCACAGGGAGGAGCCGGTGGGACAGAGGAGGCTTTCCTGTGGGCAAGGGCCCTCTGGAAGCTGCTGCCTGTGTGGTTCCAGGCTGGGGGCCCAGTCCATCTCAAACAGGGAAACCTTTCATGGGCTCTGAGGCTGGGGGCAGTGCTGGCACTCAAGCTTCCAGGTGAGGCAGCAGGCAATGGGCACAGTGGGAGGGCTAATGTCCAAGCCAGGCCAGCCCAGACATCTCAGGTCCTAAGGCCTCCATTTTGCAAATGAGGAATCTGAGGTCCTGAAAAGGGAAGGGAGAGTTTGCCACAATCCTGGGACTCTGGGGTGCTGCCTCCCTGTGGGGGTGCTGGGAGGTTTGTTTTGGGGGTGTTTTTTGAATCATACCCAGTGGTGTTCCGGGGCTGTTCCTGGCTCTGGGCTCAGGGGACATGTGGTACAGGGGGGTCACACCAGAGTCCCCATAGTCACTTCATACAAGGCAAGTGCTGTACCTGCTGTCATCTTTCCCGACCGAGGCTTCTTTGCATGTGTGTCCATGTATGTGTGTGTCAGTGTGTGTGTGTATATCAGTGTGTGTGTACCCAGTATTGAGCTGTCTGTCAGTGTGTGTTGGGCTGTGCCAGTGTGTATGTTGGTGTGTGTATGTGTGTATCAGTGTGTGTCGTCTGTGTATCAGTTGGTGTGTGTATATCAGTGTGTGTGCGTCTCATTGTGTGTCTGTGTGGGTGTTGGTGTATGTATGTTTCAGTGTGTGTGTATATCAGCATGTGTGTGTTGGGTTGTCAGTGTGTGGGTGTTGGAGTGTGTGTGTGTGTCGCGCTATGTGTCAGTGTGTGGGTGTTGGAGTGTGTGTGTCGTGCTATGTGTCAGTGTGTGGGTGTTGGTGTGTGTATGGGTGTGTCAATGTGTATATAGGTGTGTGTGTTAATATGTGTATATGTGAGTGTATGTGTCGGGGAGTATTAGGGTATGTGTGTTGTTGTGTGGCATTGTCATGAGTGTTGTCAACCTGAGCACACCGTAATGGGGTAGATTGTGAATTTGGGAGTGCTGGTGTGGGCTGGGGAGCCAGGCAGGTGAGGGGCAGCTGTCTCAGATTTCATGTATGTGGGACCCCTTCCTGTTCCTCCTAGGACCCACCCTGGGGCTGAGCTGCCCAATGCCACCTTCTGCCTCATTCCTGGCCAACGTCCTGCTGCCTTGCACTTCCTCCACGCCCTGCAGGTATACCCCCACTTGCACATTTCCTGTCCCCTGAGCCACCTCACACAAAAAAGGGGTGCTCTGAGCTCCGGGGAGACAGTAAGCTGTCCCCTCTTCATTCTGGAACTTAACTGTGTCTGTGTTCCCTGCCTCCTCTGCAGAGCCACCTTCTCTCCCCAAAAAGGTCACTTTTCTTTTTGCCCCCATTGCCCCCAACAGCAGAGGCTTCTGACTTGGAATTTGGGGGGCATCGGGCTCTCTAGTGAACCCCCTCCTGCCCCTAGGCTGGCTGCATCCCTGTGCTGCTTAGCCCTGGCTGGGAGCTGCCCTTCTCCGAGGTCATCGACTGGACCAAGGCAGCCATCGTAGCTGATGAGAGACTCTCACTTCAGGTAGCTCAGGTCCTGCCTTGGGGTTGGGGCTGGGCCCATGACATGGTGGGGGGCTGTGGGACCCTGGCCTGGGCTGCTTCAATCTTCATTCCCATCCTCATATATGTACATTGATGGGTATGCCCCTATTCCTTGGTCTCCCTCTGCGGCCCCCAGATCAGATGGAGGCAGATCTCCCTGTGGGTTTCTTTTTTTTTGGGGGGGGGGGTCACATCCGGCGATGCACAGGGGCTACTCCTGGCTCATACACTCAGGAATTACTCCTGGAGGTGCTCAGGGGACCATATGGAATGCTGGGAATCGAACCTGAGTGGGCCGCGTGCAAGGCAAATGCCCTCCCCACTGTGCTATTGCTCCAGCCCCTCCCTGTGGGTTTTGAGAGCAAGCTTAGCCTCTTTCAGCCTCAGTTTTCCCGTTCATACAATGGGATAGTGTATACTAGATGACCTCCATGGAACCAGCTTCATGAATGCTTGAAAATCCAATTGAGGGCCTGGAGAGAAAGATCAAAGGACTAGAGGGCATGCTTTTTATGCTGGAGGCCTGGGTTTGATTCTTGGCACCTCTAGGTGCTGTGAAGTGACTCAGATTGCCAGAAGTGACCCCTGAGCACTGCTATGTATGACCCCTGAATACTGAGACAGGAGTAGCCCTCAGCACTACCAGATGTTGCCCCCAAACAAACATACCCCAATTTAAAGGACAGTCACAGAAAATCCACCATTTGAATACCTTCTTGGGGTGTGGGGTGGGAAAAGTAAACTTCACAGTGGTTTTCCATCTGATGAAATTTATTTTTCCCAGCTCTGGGAAACAAACATCTGTAGGAGTCTCGCTTCCTCCGAGAAGGGAGAACAGCATAGGGAGTTAACTGCTTGCATTTCGAGAGCCTCTAGAATGTGCTAAGCACTTCACTGGCACTCTGATCTTTGCAACCACCCTCCTGGCTGGTCATTTTGCAGATGCAGAACCAGACTCAGAGAGGTTCAGCAACCTGTCCATAGCCACAGTTACCCAGCAGTGTGTTACCCAGCTCTGTGTGACCCTTGAACTCTTGGCTATTGTGCGACTTGGGCTTGGGTCGAGGTGGTGGTGCTGGGGGCTGGGGGTGGGGGGTGTAGTGTTCTGCTAACCCATGTGGAGAACCGCAGGGAGAGGGCTTCTGCTTCCTGGAAAGACCCCAACTCCAGGTTGTCCCCACCCTGACAAAGCACCTTCCCACACACATGCCTTCCCTTTCTTTCTGCTGTCCCCCAGGTCCTGACTGCCCTCCAGGAGATGCTCCCCACCCGGGTCCTCTCACTGCGCCAGCAGACCCAGCTTCTATGGGATGCCTACTTCTCCTCAATCGAGAAGGTCATCTATACCACATTGGAGGTGCGGGCGATTCACCGAGGGGAGCCCGGCCCTTGCCTCATCTCCATCTCCTCTCCATGCCCCGCTCTCAGGGTCCCATCCCTGCTTGGTTTGGAACCTCACTCCCCTTAGAAATGCTTCCTGGCTAACCCCAAGGCATAGCTCTGAGGTCTTGGGCAAGTTCCTTCCCCAGTTTTGGCCTCAGTTTCCCCACTTGTAGAGGGTCAGCAGTGGCAAAGAGATTTCAAAAGATGTGTCACTTCCAGTTGAGGGCAGTGCCCCCTGGGGGCACCATGGGAAGGATTCAGCATCTGGGAGGAATGGTGTGAGCAGATCGGAAAGGGGAGCGTGAGCCCACCATGTGCCTCCTCCGCAGGCCAGCTTCAAGGGCAGCCCTTCTGCATGTGCTCAGCCCAGATCTCTGCAGCCTGTAGGGATAGTGTGGGTTATACTAGGAACTCCCTTTGTCCTCCTCTGGCCTGGCTCCACTGGTTGCTCTCTCATCCACAGATTATTCAGGACCGGATCTTGGGTGCCTCTGCTCACCCCTCATTGCTGTGGAACAGCCCTCCAGGGGCACTCCTGGCCCTACCCATCTTTTCTACAAGCCCCTTGGATTTCCCCTTCTACCACCTACAACAGGGTATGTCCTAGGGAGGGACAACTTGAAGTCACCTCATCCACTCTTCCCCAGTCTGCACCAGCCTCCACCCTAAAGAGCCTCTAAGGCCATCCAGAGTCCCCAGCAACCCTCTTGGCTCCCAGGGTCCGCAGATTTTCATTCTATAGGGGGGTTCTGTTCTCTCCCACCAAATGCTCTGTGTCTCATTCCTCTAGGCACTCGGCCTGCAGGCAGATTCAGTGCCATGATCTGGATGGGGGCTCTAAGCCAGCCCCCCCTGAAGCTCATCCAGGCAGTGGCAGACTCCAAGCACTGTGCCCAGGTCTGTCCCCTTGTCACCTGAGGTCCTTAGATCCAGAGTGGGGATGAAGGATATGGCAGATTTCTTGAAGACTTCTAGCCAGACATTTGGGGGGTGAGGAGTTCAAAAGAAACTTCAAGTGTCCTTGCTCAATGTTCCTTTTATATTTTTATTTTTGGAGGCTCACACCCAGTGGTGCTCAAGGCTTGCTCTTCATTCTGTGCCAAGAATCACTCCTGAAGGGATTCGGAGGACCATGGGGTGCTAGGGATTGAACCCCGGTTAGCTAAGTGCAAGACAAGCACCCTACCCACTGTACTATGGCTTGAACTCCTATTTTTCTTACTCCTATACCTCATCACTATCCTTCCTTCCACGGAAATGATGAAGCTCCCTAAAAAGGAGATGATGCATTTTGGGCTGGAGAGATAGTACAGCGAGTAGGACACTTGCCTTGCATTCGGTACACCTGGGTTCAATCCTCAGAATCCCATTTGGTCTCCCAAGCACCACCCAGGAATAACCCTTGAGTATCACTGGGTGTGTCCAAAAATCAATCAGTCAAACAAACAAACAAAAAATAGATGCACCTTGGGAAGGCATTTTCCCAGATGTCATTTCCTGAACAACTAGTCCTGAACTTGATAAGGATTCTGCCCTTGGGACTCAGAGTCACTAGACATTTCATGGCATAGAGACTGTCAACACTAAGAGAGATTCATGACACAGATGGAGCAGCTCCAAAGATGGGACATTTGAACTGGGCCATGAATGCTAGAAGAGCAGGAGGAAGAGAACACAAATCTTCACAAGAAGCTGGGGGTGGAGCATGGGGGTAGGGTCCAGGTTAGGGACCAGCATAAGAGACTCTCAGGAAGCTACCTTGCTCCCTTCTGGTCCTCCAGAGGCAAGAATAGGGCAGCCTTGGGAAGACCCTGGTTTCAGTTGAGCTCTCGTTCCCCAAGACAGACACTCTCCCTACTTCTCCCACTCACCGCACTTCTACTCCCCCCCCCCCACCCCTTCCTCCTAGATCTTGGTTTTCTGGAGCAGTGAGATGCCACCTCCACTCGAGTGGCCAGAGACAGCTGTGCCCTTGACTGTCATTAATGGACCCAGGAAGGTGAGGGATGAGGAAGGTTGTGGAAGGGGTGGATTCACCTCTGAATGCTGGGAACTTGGGAGTGGACCATAGAGTACTGAGCCTTATGGGTCTGAGATAAAGCTCCACGTCAACCTGGCCTTGAAGAAGTCAGCCAGTGATGTTGGCTGCAGGCCTCCAAGAAGTGCTGCTTTTTCTCTGGGGCACATGACGCCAGGGTGTCTGCTGTGGGAGGCTGGGAGCGAACTGCAGCTCAGTGGAGAGGAAAGGGGGAACCTGGGAGCCTTGAGGTTTCAGCATTGCACTGGACCTGAGGAGCAACCTTGGAGAGCCAGGGTGGGTGTGAGTACCCATAGGCTGTGGATTTGGGGCAAGCTCCACTTTCTCTGGCCCTGCTTATTTAAAACAACGGTTATAAGTATGAACACCCAGGGTTGACAGGAGCATCTAATATAACATCAGACACATCCAAGATGCCCAAACTGGAAGAGGCCTTAGAAAATAACCGCCCCATCTCACCCAAAGGGAAACTGAAGTCCCCAGAAGTAATGGAGTTGCTCAGGTCCCAGCAGGGAACCAGGCTCACTGAGGACCTGGGGAAGGTCTGCACAGCTGAGTGACCCTCCTGGTCTCCCTGCAGGTCAGTGAGCGCTTCCTCCCCTACAGTGCCATCAACACTGATGCCATCCTCAGCCTTGATGCCCACAGCACTCTTTCCACAAGTGAGGTGAGAATTGGGGCCCTGGTCACTCTCAGCAACCTCCTGCTTTTGAAACTGCCCAGAGAATCCACTGTTCTCTGCAGGTGGCGAAGAGAAGCAGCCAGAGGCTTCTTTGCATCTACCTTTTCGGTGACTCCCAGCAGGGAACGTCCAGCTTCCCTCGCCTCTTTCCTGGCCACCCTCTTGCCTTATTTCTGTTTCTCCTCACATCTCATTTAAATACCTTCTCAGGTAGACTTCGCTTTCGGGGTGTGGCAGAGCTTTCCAGAGCGGCTGGTGGGGTTTCTGACCTGGAGCCACTTCTGGAATGAGGCCCGGGGTGGCTGGGACTACACAGCTGAGAAGGCCAACGAATTCTCCATGGTGAGCACCTCAGCTGCCTTCTACCACAGGTACGGATGGGAGCTGCGACACTGAGGGCAGAGGGTCCCACAAAACCCCCTCTTTATATCAGGTGCCAGCGAGGGGGGGATTGGGGGAGAACAAAGTCAGCCTAGAGTCGAGATTTGAGATCCAGGGTCAAGCCCGAGATCAGCCATGGCCCACTTTTGTGATGGACAAGTCTCTTCCCCTCACTCCAGACTCAGTTTCCTCATCTTGAAATGTAATCACCCCACAGAGAGAGTGTGACCATTGATACTAAAATGACACAAAGTACCAGCCCACAGATGGTGGACAAGAGGTACCAGTGGCAGGTTTTTGTTTGGTTGGCTGGAACATCCAGCAGTGTTCAGGGCTTACTCCTCGTTCTACACTCAAAGATCACTCCTGGAAAGCGTGGGGGATCAAATGGAGTGCGAGGAATCAAACCCAGGTCAGCTGCACAAGGCAAGCGCCCTGTCTCTTGCTGCACAGGGGTCCAGACAGTACCCACTATACTATCTCTCTGGCCCAGGAACTGGTGGTGTTTTCAGCAGCAGAGAGTATGGAGGTGTTTGGGTTTGTTAGATTGAGGATGGAGATAAGAAAAGTGTTTATCCTTTACAGATGTGTGGTGGAATGGGGGCCAGGTCTGACCCAGACTTTCCAGAAAATACCTGAATTTTCTTGGAGCAGCCACAGAATTCTGAAGGCCTTTTATGAAATAGGCATAACCCCACTTCAGTCAACTTAATCAATATGGCTGAATAAATAGCAGTACTCCTACATTAAAAAAAGAAATAGGCATAGCCAGGAACCCTTTTGCTTTACTTGGGAAAAAACAGCACATTTTGGTGGAGCTAAGAAGGCCTCTGGTGCTTGCAGGGTGAACCCAGACTCTTCTAAGGGGTGGGGACGTGAGTGAGTTGAGGTCCCTGGCCCTCCATCAGCCTGGCTCAGCCTTCCTGAAGCTTCGGGCTGTCTGGGCTGTCTGGATTCATGATCTTTGAGTCAGCAGATCCCCCTGAGCCCAGCTGAGAACCTAGTGTGGAAGCCAATGTGAGGGAGGGAGAAACCCCAGGCCCCAGCAAGGCACAGGCGCAGAGCAGTGGAGGCGCCTTCGTACCTGAGCCGGGGCTTTCTGAGGCATCTGGGCTCCCAGGAGCAGGGCTTCTGGTTTGGGACTGGGGGTTCACAGGAATGAGGTCAGAAGGGAGGAAAATGAGGCTGAGAAGAACTCCAGTGCAGCCTCTCCCTGTTCTCTCCTTCTGCCCAGGTATTATCACACCCTCTTCACCCACTCCCTGCCCAAGGCACTGAGGACCCTGGCAGACCAGGAACCCTCCTGTATGGACGTCCTAATGAACTTCCTGGTGGCAGAAGCCACCAAGCTGCCCCCTATCAAGGTGCCCTACGGGAGGCAGCTTCCTCCGGAGGCAAGACCTCTAATGGTAAGGAGAGAAGGTACAGGCGGCACAGGTTTGGGACCTGAGGAAGGATTTCCGCACTATTTAATCCAAATCTTTTTTTGTGCCTCGGGGCGGAAGCGGGGGTGTTTGGGACAGAGACACCCTCCAAGGTACTTCTCCTGCCCCTCTTAGGAGCCTGGACTGGAGCCGCTGCCCGACTGCGTCAACCAGGCGGCGGCAGGGTTCGGCCGCATGCCCCTGGTGTCCTCTCGCTTGCGTCTGGAACCAGTGCTCTACAAGGACCCGGTGTCCGTGCTGCGTAAGAAGTATCGCGACCTGGAGAAAACCTAGTAGGAACTGGCCAAGAACCCAACCTTGCCTCCGGGTGATAGCTGCACCGGTCTGAGGGTGGGACGCCAATCAGGGCAGCCAGTTGACCAACACGCTACATCCCTATTGGTCCATCACACAGGACGGGGCGGAGCCTTGGTCCTTTTAGCATCTCTGCAGCTAGTAGGTTTGGAGGCGCAACCCGAACCTGTTCCTCCTACCTGGAGGGGTCTTTGCTTCCTTGTGGAGCTGATTTCTACTTGCCTTTCATAAAGTCCCTCTTCCAGGGACTTTATGACTTCACCCCCGCCTCGGATGGGCTTGTCGGCACCATTCTGCTGCCCTGCAGCGTCCAACCCAAGCACTGACCTAGGTAGACGGGAGGTCAGGGTCGGGTGGGCTCTCTGGCCCGACAGGTGCTTCACAAGTATCATTAGCTGCGTGCGTGGCCCTATACTGACAGCGGCAAGAGTGTGGACAGGGTGTGCAGAGACAAAAATGCCCTACACCCAGGACGGGAAGTCAGTTGCCTGCAGACACCCTGACTTACCAGGTGCATTCGTGTGCCCCAGTGTGACGGAACAGGGAGTCACTGGGAAGCCAATCTCACGGCTTGGTTTGCAACTGGTGACTAGGATGGGAGCCTAAGGGTCCACCACAGACCCTGGGTTCAGGCTCAATCACGACTCTTCATTTCCACCCTGGACCACTAGAGGTCAGCGCAATACCGCATTCTCACCCCCCACCCGGAAGGGGAATGGAATCCCAAACACTGGTAAGGATCTAAGGGCAGGCTGGAGAGTTGGTGCGTGCTGCCCTAAGGTCTGGAAACCAGAGGCCGGTGAGAGCATTTAAATGCTCTACTCTACTTCTACCCATGTGGGACTAAGAAGACACCAATTCTAGGTGAGCTGGCAGGAAGAAGGGTTGTCCTGAGCCACCTGGTAACAAGTGGAGTAAGGCAGAGGGGACGCTGTGCTCACCCCGGTTCAACTACCTGGAATTGGATTATCACTTCCCAAATAAAGCTTGTGTCCTTGCCCCTTTGTGTCCAAGTTATAAATACCCTAACAGCAGCTGGAGGGGAGGGGTGCTGTGGGGGAGCAATCAGGGTTTATCTGGGAGAAGGTTCTATGGAGGGACTGGAGTAGTGGATCCTGCTCAGCGCCAGGTTGTTATAGGTTTCTAGACTTTTTCTTTTTTTTTTTTTTTTCCAGTCACACCCACAGTTGCTGGGAGCTACTCCTGACTCGGTATTCTGGAGTCCCTGCTGTATGAGGACTCGAACTTAGGCCTCCTGCATACAATACACTGTGCACTGTGCTATCTATCTTCGTCCCTGTTTTCCTGCTTTGATGGCCTGGCAGCTTTGAAAACTCCCATGACTAGCTCATTGGCAGAACATGCCGTCCACCAGGGCCTCTTCCAGGCACCCCACCCCCCATCCTCCAACTTGACCTCTGGCTCCTAGATGACTCAGGGCCTTCCGGAGGTCAGTCGCAGCTGGGGGTGTAGAGAGAGCTCTCCACTAGAAAGCATGAAACTCCTCCTAGGTGTTTGAGGCGGAGGGGGAAGTGGGAGTGAGAGCAGAGGGGAGGCAGCCTGGCCTGCTGTCAGGACAGTGAGGAAGCACACAGCTGTGTGCCCGGCAACCTTCCCAGGGTGGGCAGGGCCTGGATGCCAGGCCGGGCCAGGGGAAAGAGACACCTTTCCCTTCCCCAGTCACAGCTGTGCACCCAGATCATTGAACTGCCTTGGCATGGCCATAACACAACCCAGCCAAGCCCAGGAGCTCGCCCTGTAGCAGCATGCAGCACCAAGCAGAGCCCCAGCCCCTGCTCCAGAGCACAGAGCAGGGGAACAGGCCGAAATCTCAGACCGGCCTTAAAGCAAGTGATTCAGCAGCTCTGAGCCTGTTTTCTCATCGTAAAGATGGAGTATCATAATGACCATCTCACAAGAGGGCTCTAAGGACTTGGTGTGCTGCAAAGGTCAGGAACCAGGCTCCTGGAATCTGCCACAAGCTTAGGCACAGTTGAGGTGTTTGATTCCCCTAAGAACAGCCACCGGGAGTCTCGTGTCCTTCCCCTCTCCCCAGACACACAGCATACTCTTATGCCAGCACAAATGACTTCCCACAAATTTTAAGTGGCTCAAGAACTCTTTGGCATTGGTCACAGGCAACTCTAGCCACCAGTGCTGGAAAGGCACAAAGAGGTCATTTCACAGACAGGCGGGGGGGGGGGGGTGGCGGGCGGGAAGGCAAGTGACCAACCCTTTCTCTTGCTGGGTTTATCTGGGAGAAGGGTTCTATAGAGGGGCTGGAGTAGTGGGTCCTGCTCAGGGCCAGGCTGTTATAGGTTTCTAGACAAACCCAGCCCTGACCCCGGAAGTTGGGAAGTTCCAGGATGCTGCAGGTGCTTCTCATTTGACTCCAGTTCTCACAAAAAGTGAGGGAGGGGTTGTGAGCAGCTGCTAGTAATGGCAGAGATCCACCACTAGACCAGGGTCACCCAGTGCTCAGGTCGGGGACTGGTTCCCCCACTTCACGCTGTCAACACAGCCACCTCTAACTCCGGAATCTTGACGCCTACTACAGGAGCCAGCATCTCCTGTCCTTGTTGATCACCCGGCTTTGTCCTTGGTCCCCAAGTTCCATCTATACCAGCAACAGCGCTGCCCAGTCACCTCTGGCCTCAGGCACCATAATCCCCGAGACACTGTGAGGCCAGGAGAAGTGGATGGGTCCGTGAGGTAGTTAGGACGTGCCCCAAGCTGAAATCTGCTCTGACCCGAGTGTTGGCCCAGCACCCGGGGCTGAGGAAAGAGGGAACCCTCAGGTTCTTCCTAGTCAGGCACCTCCTCACTCAGGAAAGGGAAACATTTGACTCCCAGCTAAAGTGACAAAGACAGAATTGGGTCTCGGGTCCCCCTGTACCCCCATTACAGGTGGACTCGTGGGAGAGTGCAGGGTCTTCCAACCACCCAAACCTCAGTGCCTCTTTAAGCCACGCTGCAGAAGGCAGTGGGAGGGCCTCTGTTCCTAGCTGCTTCCCAGGGATGTAAGGCAAGGCCACACCAGACAGGGACATGTGAAGCAGGCAGGTAGGCAAGAGGATGGATGCGGAAGCTGATAGCCCCAGTCACTGCCTTCGAGGCTGGTGGTAAAAAAAAAAAAAAAAAAAAAAAAAAATCAGCTGAGGATCAGGTCCAACCCCCACCCAGGAGTAGACACAGGAAGTGAAAGAGGGGGTCACACCAGCTTTTCACCTGTCAGGACTACATCCTTGGATTGCTGTGTTGCTGTGGTCAGATGGGGGAGAACCAGCTCCTTCTTAAAGTGGAACAAGGTCCTCAGGGAGGAGGACCCCTGGGCAAAGACCGGGAGGGAGCCGGTTTCTAACTGCTGGGTAGGGTGAGTGCTGGCTAGGCCTGGTGGGCAGCAGCCCCACCGGAACAATTCCTGTTTGTGCCCCTGTTGGTGCCTGGTGGGCAGTCAGTCCGAGGGGCCTTGGCAGGCCTGACAGTCCTTCATGTCCTCCGAGTAGTCTTCGATCTGGATGGTGATGGTGTGGAAGTGGAAGCTGCCTCGCAGCCGGGTACTAGCCGCCTTCAGCACAGCCTGGGCGTCTGCATCCTGAGCTGGGGTGCAGAGGGCACAGTGTGTTTGTGTGTGTTTGGGGCAGGGGGGTGGCTAGAAGACCTATCAGTCATGCGTGGGCCCTCCAGAACAGTCAGGAGCTCAGGTCTCAGATCCCACCCACAGCAGACCAGGATAGTGGGCACCAGCCACTGTTGGGGTCCTGTCCTGGCCCCGCTCTGAAAGAACAGCAAAGTGCCGGCTTCTAGGCAAGGCATCAGCTTTCAACTGCACTTTAGCTGGGAAAGCCTGGGCAAGTGACTTCACCAGCTCACCCACCCCAGCCTTGGTTTCTTCATCTATACATGGGGCTGTGCTGATTGCATGTAATATTGAGTGTGAGACACCCCCCGTCCCCGACTGCCTCAGGTAGAACAAGGGAACCACAAGAATCACCTGGACAGCTGGGGACACCCCAGGCCTCAGCTGCCTCTCCCACATGCCCACGTGCCTGGGACTCACCGATAGCGATGTGGACGGAAAGCACAGGCTGGGCCACGGTGAGCGCCCAGATGTGCAGGCTGTGCAGGGCCTCCACCCCCTCCACCGACAGCAGAAGATCCCGCACCGCTGTGAAGTCCACGCCCTTGGGGGTCCCTGGGAAGTGCAGGACCATTGGCTGTAGGAAACTGCCCCCCACCTCCCCAGGCTGGCCCTGCCACTCAAATTCTACATCTTCAGAGAAGACTCCCTTGGCCAGCAGAGTTTATGTCACTCCTAGCAAGGCAAATTTGTCCAGCACTGACCATCTTTTCCTAAACCCCATGTGCCCTGGCAGGTCAAGTCTGTGTCCTTCTGCCTGAGAGCACATGGGAAGGGCCAGAGGGCACAGACACCACCCGGGTGCTGACCTGACAAGAAGGGTGTGTTCTCCTCACCCCCAAGCTCCCACCCAGCATGGAGACTGCTTGGAGCTTGGGGGAGAGAAGGTACAATCCAGGGACATTTCCAGGTATAGTCAAACCTGAGGACCTCCTCTTGACCAAGACCTGCTGCCTGCACCAGGCTCAAGATGAGGCTCCCCTCCACTGTGGGGGACCCACACCCACACCTGGATCAGAGCTGGAGAGCCCCGAGCCCCAGGGGAGCCCCAGGTCTGAGTTACCTTCCATCAGCACCAGGATCACGTCTCTCAGGATGGTCAAGGTGGTCCCCAGCACCAGAATGGAGAACAAGAAGGTGCAGATGGGGTCTACAAACTTGTACTCAGGCTGTAGGAAAAGGTGATGCAGAGCTGGGGGTCGCCACCCAAAGCCAAGCTTCCTTTCTCCCTCCCCACCAGCACTGAGACAGTGAGAACTGCCCACAGGATGGACAAGTGCATGCCCCACCTCCCAGATCCATGCCCAGTGGGACAGGCAAAACATGCCACATTCAGGGGCCCAAGCTATAGTACAGCAGGTAGGGTGCTTATCTGGAATGCAGCCAACCCATGTTCGATCCCCAGCATTCTTTGAGTGATTCCTGAGTACAAAGCCAGGAGTAACCCCTGAGCACTGCAGGGTGTGAACTCAAAATAAACACAAAGACATGCCATATTCAGACATGCCCCTTCCCTTGCTCGGGCACTGAAACATACACAGATCTATAAAGGATCTTAAATACCATCTGGTCAAGGTCCCCATTGTATAGATGGGGGAAACTGAGGCTCAATTAAAGCAAGTACCATACATCCCACAATGAGCAGGGGACAGAGCCAGCTCCAAACCTGACGTCTGCTGCTTTTTACTAGGGTACACGGCCTCAGTAAGGTGGGCAATGCCCAGGCTTCAGCAGTACAGGCCTGGGAGTGATTCTGGCTCCATGACTTACTGGCTGTGTGACACTGAGCAAATCACCCAACATCTCTGAGCAGAAAACACCACCTCTCCCTGCGATCACTGTGAACATCAAAGGAGCAGACATTTGGCCGTGCTGGATTAATGCTCCTTCCCTCTCCCCACCCTTCTGTTTAGAACTGGGAGGGAACCGGAATCTGCAGAATCCCAAGTAAAAAGGAATTCCCAGATAATCTGAACAACCCCACCCCTACCCCAACTGCCCTCCATCCCCAGCGCTGACCTTGAAGTACAAAATATAGGCTGCCACCAGGACGCCCACGCTCTGCAGAAAATCTCCAATCACATGAATAAAGGCCGCTCGGACACTGGGGTTCTGCTCCTGGCTGCTGCCATGGCTGTGCCCGTGGCCATGGCTGTGCCCATGACCACACTGGTGAAGAGTCAACCCCATTCTACAGAAGCGGAGACAAAGCTGTGGCCCACCAGCCAAGGAGAAGCCATCCACATAGGCGGGATGACCTCCTGTGGGGCCCTAACCCCAGCTCCCCATACTCTACATGGTCCCTTTGGGGGTCTGAGGCCCAGGTGGTCTTGGTTCAAAATGCCCCGGGAGAAAGATCGCTCAAATGCTTGACTGAATCTGGGCCCAGTGATGCCCACATGCCAACTCTCAGAGCAGAAGGGCACCACAGTGGTCATCCAGTTCAGGCCAGCCTCTGTCAAAGAGGATGAGCATAGAAAGAGACTTGCCCAAGACTCTGAGCGAGGGGGGAGAGTGTCTGAAAAAGACCCCCCTGTTCTCCAGGCTCCACTGTTGGCATAGTGCCTAGAAAGGCCTTAAATTCTGCTCCTCCAAGGAGCAGACTCACCCTCCCCACAAGGGGCTGGAAACCTTCCAGGTTATTCCCTGGCATGCGTGGAGATTGTGCTGGTAGTGCTGACTCTGTCCCTGAGTCACTGCTCCCCAGAACCCAGGTGCTCCAGTGCCTGAAAACAGGTGTTTGGAAAGCCCAGTCCCCGTGGTCTATACTGGAGCCTGGCCTGGCCTTCTCCCATGAGAGCAGATGACAGGGGGTGGGGCGGGTCCCAGGGTATTGAGCCCATACTCACATGATATTCACGGCCACTGCACAGCCTGACGTGATTAGCATGGTCCCACCCTGAATCTCATAGTCTCCAGACATCAGTCGTTCGACTGCCAAGTACACCAGGACTCCAGTCACGACCCAGATGGAGAGCACGGAGAGTAGGGCTCCCAGGATCTCTGAGGAACAGATATCTCCCTAAGAATCTCAGCCTGGTGGCTCCTTACCCTCCCTGAGCTCCCCTCCCCAAGTCAGGGCCTGGTTCCCACCGGCTTTGAGGAAAGAACTAATGACTTGATGGCATCTTCCCCATCCACTCACACAACAGAGCATTGACGGAGCTAGAAAGCATTGAAGAAGTCACCTGGGGTCAATCCTTTATGTTTTATATGTAAAGACATGGACTTATGGGGGCCAGAGCAATAGTACAGAGGTAGGGCATTGGCCTTGCACACAGCCGACCCAGGTTCGATCCCCAACATTCCATATGGAATAATGCCTGAGTGCAAAGGCAAAGAGTAACCCCAAAGCTTTGCCAGGTGTGGCCCCAAAGCAAAATAAAAACAAAGAAATGAACTCATTAAAAATATACTCATTGCTCAGCTGGCAAACTGAGGCTTTGGGGAAGGAGAGGCAGGGTGATCTCCCACCAAGAGGGAAAGGGCAATGGGCAATGTAGCCTAAGAGATAAATAAAAAGGCTTTAATATGTGTAAACACTCCCAGAAGCATTTGCTGATCTTTCCCTATCACCACCGCCTTCTATCCCCCTCCCCCCAACCACCCTGCGACTGGTCCACAGAGTTCTGAGTTCCATTAATGCTATATTCACTTGTTCCGAAAGTTTGGCCACTTTGTTTTTAAAGAAGGCTGCTCTCCCTCCCTGCTGACTTAGCCCGGATTGGTAGCCTCTCTGGCCCTATCCACATCACTCAGCCTCACTCTGAGATATAGCCAGTGGGGCCACCTAAGAAGCCATGTGTAGATCCCTCCCTCTCCCAACACCTTCCCTCCCCACCCACACCAGCCACTCTTACCAGCTCGCTGCCAGCCAAAATTCATGGTCTTGGTGGCTGGCCGGGAGGACATCCAGAGGGAGAAGAGGCTGATGAGCATGCTGGCAAAGTCAGTGAGCAGGTGGGCTGCATCAGTCATGACCGCCAGGCTATGTGCTAGGTACCCACCTGCAGGAGTAGAACCAGGACAGGTAGTGTCTATCAACCACCCAAGATAAGCAGCTATCTGCTTATCTGTATACAGCAGAGAAGGTGTGGTGGGCTCAGGAGACAGGAACTAGATTAGGGATCTTTCTATACACCCTGGCTGCTTAACTGTGAGCCAGTGAGACAGAACTTCTGCCCTCTGTGAAATGAGACTCACAACAGCTATTTAGAGGGTGAAGGTGAAAACCAAGTTCAAACAGGACCTGGCAAGGAGATTAGGTAAAGGTAAAGGTAAAGGTAAAGGCCCTCCCGTTGTTCGTCGATTTGCTCGAGCAGGCCCAGTAACGTCTCCATTGGAGACTTTGTTGTTACTGTGTTTGGCATATCAAATACTCTCGGTAGCTTGCCGGGCGGAGGAATCGAACTCGGGTCGGCCATGTCGGCCGCTTGTAAGGCGAATGCCCTACCGCTGTGCTATCGCTCCGCTTGGGAAATGTTCTTTCTAGGTTTTCAGGCTGTTCCTTTCCTACTAGTTGCATGTGATCTTGGGCAAATTATTTAACATTTATGGGCCTCACTGGCATCATCTGTAAACTCAGAGCAGCAGTCACATGGCAGCAAGGGGGTGCTATGAGGATTGCGTGCAAGAGCAGGAATAGTGGTTCCTTCCCCAACCCCCCTCACTACAGGGATTCGTTCCATTTTAAGACCTTCGGAGGATGCCTCAAACTGGAGACAAGACTAGTACTGAATGCTGCATACCTACCTATGATCAAGTTCAGCTTACAAATTAGGCATAATAAGAGATTAATAGTAATGCAATTATTGTAACAATATATTATAATAGAGGTTATGTGAAAGTTATCTCTACCTCTCACAAAGCACATGTCGTATTTTGAGACTATATCTGTCCTGGAGGTACTGTAATCATGGAAATCAAATGATGGGATAAACAAAAGCTATAGTATATAAAGGATTTAGCATTGTGAGCGTTCAATAAATGGAGTTCTTATAATTAACAGCTGTGGGAATATTCAAGAGAAAAGCCTTTTGGGATCACCCAAGTATTCATTTCATTAGTACAAAGGTCCTTACCAATGACTTCCCCAATCATGAACAACAGGCAGATGGCAGAGGCTACATACAGCTGGCGGCGGGCTCGAACCTTCCCAGGGTCGCAGTCACTGCCAGGACCCTTCTGGGCATGGCAGTAATGGTTACTCTGAGCGGCCAGTTCAATGGCCTGCAAATCCACGATAGGCTGGGGCAGAGGGACCCAGCCTGCTCCATCTGGTCCCAGAGACTCCGAGTAGGACCTGGCCAGAAAGGACGGGAGAAGGGCTGCTCAGCTCTTGGACGGTGCACGGTGGCTGCCTCCAGCCCTCTTTCTCCCCCTCTCTTTAGGGACTTGGCATTTCCATCGTCCAACCCGAAGAACAGCTAAGAACATTCCAAGTGCGACCGCCCCTGAGCAGCTTCGGAGAGGGTCCTGGCAGGAGTCCTAGAGCGTTGGCCCCGGGGTGTCCCTCCCTCCCTACTCATCTCTCCCCAGGCCCCGAGGCGGCGGCGAAGGCCTTGGGAACCGGCCAAACGGAGAGGCCGGTCCAGCGGAGCGCGGAGAATCAGGCTCCGCAAGAAAGATAGACGCAGATCTCTGGCACTTGGGGGTCACGCGGCCTCCCAGGGCGGGGCTGCCAGGGGGCAAAGTACTGGACAGGGGCGGGGCTGCGGGCGCGGGACTCCCACTAGTGGGCAGGGGTCCGGCTCGGCACTCGGGGTCCGGGGCCCACGCTCCCTCGTCTCTCCCCAGCCCTCCGCTGTGGTCCCAGTTCCAGCCGCCACCTAAATCATCCACGGCCAGATGGCAACCGGCAGGCACGTCCGGCGCCGCTCACATTCGCCCCCTCTCCGGGGCTCTCGCCTTACCTCCCTCCGGCCCCGGTGTCCAGCAGGTGTTTCTTCTCCATGACTTCCAAGGGGCCCCGCGCGCCCGAGACGAGGGCGCCCCGTGGGCCGCTCTGGGGGAGCCCGGCGGCGCGCGCTCACCTGCGGGGAGGAGCCCGCGCGCCTCTCCCGCCGCCTCGTGCTCCGGCCTCGCCGCGCGCGCTGCGCCCGGGAACGCCGTGGGCCGAGCCGTCTGCCTCCAGTGCCAGCCGCTGCGCCCGCGCCCGCCAGCTTTATCCGGCCGCTCACCCCGTGTGAAGCGGCGGCCGGTGCGTCGTGTGCAAAAGCCCGCGACGGAGGGGGAGGGGTGGCCGGCTGCAGAGCACGCCCGGGGCGCTGCCCCCTGCGCCCCTGCGGCCGGGAGAGCCGCCCGGGCGCCGGATGAGAAAACCAAAGCACTTTTCACTGCAGGACTCGGGCTGACTCTGAAGGAGGCGACGCTTGGGGGAGCCTCCTAGAACCAGATGTGTCCCCTGGATGCAGAATCGGGCTCCCGATGATGTGTCTGGGGGAGTCCTGAGAACCTGATCCAGTTCCACCTAAAGGCTTGACACTCCCGAGATCAGCCGTTATTCGTGTTCAGCCTAGGGGGTGGGCCTAGGGTGGGTGGAGTGGGGGGACAGTCAGACCCATCTTGGACTCGGAAGCCGCGCCGGTTCTCCTTGTCCTGCGCATGCATTAGAATCTGGAAAGTCGGGTTTGTCTCACGCCCCATGCTGAGCCGCGCTTCGTTACCTGTGACCGCCTGGGCAGAACAGCCCACCCCCAGCAGCCTTTCTCCCCTGCCCGCGACAGCTCCGCGCCCCGGAGCTCGGGGAGGCACCATACGAGGTGCCTCGCTGGGGAGAGCCGCGCTCGCGCGGATCTTTGCGTTGGCCGGGCGCCCCACCCACGAAACTCCCCTCGGGGTGGTGGCTGAGGGCCAAGAGCCTGTGCCTCCAGCGCCGTCCTTTGGTAGATGCCTTCCGGAGGGAGACGGCAGGGCCGGTCACCTGTCCGGTTAGTCACCCTAGATCCCCAAAACCCTGTGTGGCAAGAACTATGCTCAGGTCTGCCCCTCACCTAGAAAGAGATGAGGGTGTGTCGCCTATTTAGGACCTTCTGGGGTTAGGAAAAGCTTAAACAGACCCCCGAGGCAGTTTGGAGAGTGTGCCGGCCTCTCCCTGGGAGAAGCTGCTGCGTTGCATTCTAGCATTCTGGTGGCTCCGACTGGACCAAAGCAGAATCTAAAGAATGCTTTGAACTGACGAAGTCCCACGGTCCAGTAAGGACTAGAGGAGAATGTGCAGCAAAACCCAGTTCACTCTAGCATCCTTAGTCTTCATCACCATGCTAAAATACACACTCCGGTGACAGTTCTCTGCCATTTTTCTGTACCTATGATATATAGTTCTTTGTATGTTCCCCACTTGCAGGCTCCCTCATGAATATATTTAAGTTTCCTGAAAAACTACTAGAATGTGTATTAGCAGGTAGGTCACTCCATCTCTCTCTCTCTCTCTCTCTCTCTCTCTCTCTCTCTCTCCTCTCTCTGTCTCTCTGTCTGTCTCTATCTCTCTCTCTCTCTCTGGCTTTTTGGGTCACACCAGCCATCCTCAGGGGTTAGTCCTGGCTCTGCACTCAGGAATCACTCCTGGAGGTGCTCAGGGCACCATATGGGATGCCAGGGACCAAACCTGGGTTATCCGTGTGCAAGACAAATGCCCTACCCGCTGTACTATCGCTCCGGCCCCTGGTCACTCCATCTCTGCTGGGCATCAAACCAATCCCCCTACTTCCTCTCTTTGAAGCTGTTCTTCAGCCCAGGGTGATGGACATCCTTTTCAATTTTTGTTTTTCATTGCAAGTAAAGTCCCTCTTTTCTATGCAGTTGTTCCATGCTTTTTCTAGAAAAAGTGCTAGCCTCTTGCCCACACCACTGGAGACAAGGAGGTCCTCATTGTCTCCTGGACAAGAAGAGATTTGGTGTGAGGGGAAACACAAATGCTGCCTGCTTGCATAGACTGGGTCCCCCACTGAATCTTTCCCCCTCCTCTGGACTCTGAGTATAAAAACCTTTTCCTGAGCTTCCTGGAAAGCTAATAACTTACAGGTTCAGCATTATCTGGAAAAGCGATGAGTATGCAGGTTTCAGGTTTCTGCACAAGATCAACTGAATCAGAATCTCTGCTTATTTACAGGATTCTTGGGGGTTGGGGAAATTCAGCACAGTAAATTCTGAGGACCTTTGCATAATGCTTTTGTAGGTATCTCAGCTATGCATTGACCTGATCATCCCACTAGATTACAAGGTCTCTGATAACAAATATTTTTGCTTCTTTTACATTTTAGTCAACTCTGAGCACTAGTAGTTGCAGATTACCTGTGGGCAGGAATGAAGAAAGGCACTTCTAGGACTGACTTCTTCACCAGGTGAGCAAAGTGGGGCATTTTACAAGTATTTCTGTTTATCAGAGTGAGGGGATACCTGGTGGTGCTCAAGGCTTATTCCTGGCTCTGTGCTTAGGGATCAGTCCTGGTGATGCTCAGGGTACCATATGGAGTACCACGGTTTGAATGTGGGTTGACCGCATCCAAGGCAAGCACCCTACCCTCTGTACTATCTCTCTGGCCTCTACATAGGCATTTTTGGCCAGTTTATCTTCATTTAGATGGTTTAAACTGCCCTATACTCCAATTAGTAAAACTTAAAATTTATTTGAATTTTACTAATTTACTCCTGGCATTGCTTGGGGTCCAAGCACTCTGTGGTCCAAGTACTCTGCCCACTGTACTATCTGACACCTGAAAATATTTTTTTTGAATTTTAGTTTGTTAAATTATATTGATTTTAAGGTATTTAATGAATGCAACATGAAGATTTTTTGATGAATTTTATGTCCTTCTAATGCAAGATCCATGCTAAATTCTCAATAAATGCAGGTTTGCAAATTGGATCCAGATAAATGTATTTATTTCATATAAAAATTTTTGCCAGTTTTCTTTTAAATTAATACTTTTACATGATACATTTTAATTGATTTGCAAGAGTTGCAAGAGTTAGATACACTAAAATTTATGAGGTCAACTTGTATTATATACCTGCTTTTTTAGAGGTTCCCCTGAGCTACAGAACTGAGTTAGCAGTTCTCAGACCTCAACATTAACTGAAGAATTTCATTAAGAAACAGATAGATAGATAGATAGATTTCTTGGGACCAGAGGGATAGTATAGCAAGTATGATGCTTGAGTTTCATGTGTTCGATCCAGGTGTGATCCCTGATATCGCTCATCTTGTGGTGTCAGGTGTGGTATCAGTGCTCATCACTCCTGAGCACTGATACCACAGGTGTAGCCCAAAAACAAGTAAAGAAGCAAATTATATAGGTTCTGATAATCATTCTAGAGCCAGTCTGATTCAATATGTCTAGTAGGGAGGGATCTGAGAATCTGTTTTAAACCTCTGTGTCTACTGCTATTGTGGAATTAATGTTTTGTTTGGGGTACTGGGAATGGAACCCAGAGCCTCATTCACACAACCTGTGCACTATTCTACTGAGCTACATCCCTGGCAATTTTTTTTTTGGTGATATACAGGTAAAGGTAAAAGGTAAAGGCCCTCCCGTTGATCATCGATTTGCTCGAGCGGGCCCAGTAACGTCTCCATTGGAGACTTTGTTGTTACTGTGTCTGGCATATCGAATACTCTCGGTAGCTTGCTGGGCTCTCCGAGAGGGGCAATATATACAGGTGAAGGTTCTAAATTAATTTTATAAATTTTATATCATTTGGGTTTTGGCAGTGGTCAGGGATATTCCAGGCTCTGTACTCAGAGATCACACCAGGCGGTGTGAAGAGGCCCATATACAGTGCCAGGAATCAAATCAGAGTTCAAGCCACAGGCAAAGGAAGCACCTTAATCCCTGCCCTATCTCTCCAATTTGTGGTTGGGCTTGGGGAGGCAGGTAGATTACACCTGGCAGTGCTCAGGGCTTACTCCTGGTTCTGTGCTCTTTTATCACTCCTGGCAGGGCTTGGTGGATTATATAGGATGTCAGGGATTGAACCTGGTTTAGCTGTGTGCAAGGCAAGTGCCCTCCCCACTATACTATTTCTCTGACCCATCTTCCTGGAATTTAAATGAACTGATCACAAGGGATTGCATTGCCTTCCTTCTTCCTTTGATAAGTGACAGGATAGTGAACTGACAAGTCTTGACCATGTAGTCAGTGACCTAGAGAAAAAATCTGGGGACAGATTGTATACTAACTTGTGTGACTTCGAGGTGATGAAAGCCTCAAGCTCCTGTGTTCACCTATGGAAGAATACTTTAGGAAATAAAACTATAAAGAAAAGAAAAGTTTAAAAAAAACATAAAGGAGAAACTGGAATGAAAATACAGCTAGTAGGGCATTTGCCTTGCACATGGCAAACCCAGGTTCAGTCCCTGGCATCCCATATGGTCCCCAAGCAACGCCAGGAGTGATCCCTGAGTGCAGAGCCAGGAGTAACTCTTGAGAATTGCCTGGTGTGGCCCAAAATAAACAAACAAGCAAAAACAAACAAAAAAAACTACAAAGGAAGCAATGAAGTATGAGATTATTAAAAAAAAGAGATAGGACATGGTTACCTCTAGGGAACTGGCTGTCCCTTTTTCTTGACCATAATTTCATTTTACAATGCTTTTGTGAATAGTATGTTACTTATCTACTTATATATGTGTGTACATTTTATATCTACAATAAATCTTATGCACAAATGTGTGTGATATAATTTAAAATTTTTTCTTAAAAGCTTCCGTGGGGCACATATGCTGCCCAAGTCTATGTGCTGCTTGTGCCCACGTGACTGAGCACATGTGGTACCCAAGCATATGTGGCTTGCCCCTCTTAAGATGTGTACTTTCATGCTTCCATATCTAATGCTGGGGTCTAGTAGGGAGGGATCTGAGAATGTGTGAAGGTTCTCTTTCCACCTTTGGAAAGCCCGCATTCTCTCTCACTCTCTCTCTCTCTCTCTTTTTTTTTTTTTTTTTGGTCACACTCGGCAATACAGGGACTACTCCTGGCTCATGCACTCAGGAATTACTCCTGGCGGTGCTCAGGAGACCATATGGGATACTGGGAATCGAACCCTGGTTGTCTGTGTACAAGGCAAATGCCCTACCTGCTGTGCTATTGCTCCAGGCCTACCCCCCCCCCCCCCCCGCATTCTCTCTTGAGCACATTACTCTCCCTCTCACTTTCCCTCTTGTCTCTCCTCCCCTTCCAAAAACTTCCAAATAAAATTGTTTTTACTTAAAAAAAAAAAAGCTTCTGTGGGAAGGCACCTGCTTTGCATATGGCCTGCCCAGGTTTGATGCCTGGAAGCACAGAGCTTCCCCCAAGCTCTGCCGATATTGCAAAACAGCCCAGCAAAGGGCAGAGACGAAGAAGACACACTCAGAGGAACGAGGAAAAAAAAAACGAAAAACACAGTTTATTCAGCACAGGTGTAGGCCCAGCTGAGTTGCCTCCAAAGACTGAGCGCCAGCCAAGATTTATACACTTATTATGTAGGGATCTGCATTTGCAGCTGGAGAGCAGAGAGTACAGGTAAGGGTTACACATGACAAAGTGAACAATGTATTACACAAATACATTAGGGTAACACAGTACATATATTTGGTAAAAGCAGGACCGGGATTCAGGCTTCCCCTGACCGTGGTAAAGAGCAGAAAGAACAGGAACCAGACCTCCTTCAGAGGAAATCAGGCTTCCCTTTGCACTGGAAGCAAACTTCCCTTCACACTAAGAGTGATCCCTGAACACAGATCCAGGAGTAAGCTCTAAGGACAGCTGGGTGTGCTTCTCATTCACCCATTCCACCCTAACCCCCCCCCAACCCTCAACCCTCCCCCCCCCCCAAATAAAACACCTTCAGTTCTTGAGTGCAGATTAGAAATTAGTGTAAAATCTGATTCCCTGAAATTCAAAGTTAGGGACAGAGTTAACCTTGGAAAAACTCCCAGAAGAGAAAATAAGCAAAGATATGAGGGTTTAAAGCATTTTCATTTTTGCGAGGTCCGCAGAACACTGGTTCTGGAGAATGTCTGTGAGTGAGTAAACGGAGAGGTGCTGGGTTAAATGCTCAATCCAAGAACACTAGAGACTTGAAGATCAAGCTGTATCCCAAACACCAGGAACTTGATGGCCTAGTCATTAGCTAAAGCCGAAGAGCTTTCTGAAGCGCTTATCTTGCTACAATCTTCTAAATATGGAGGAGGCAAATGTGCAGGTCTGCAGGACGTCAGGCCCACTTAATGCCCTGCCTCTAATTCCTTCCGCTTCTTCACTCTTTCCACATCTTGGCCCTTGTTCATAGAGAGCCTGGACACTATTCGGCCTTGGTCATAGCTTTATCTCTATCTCGTGACAAATTTACCTTTCCTTGTGTCTAAGTATGGAATCCAGCAGAGCTTTCCCCAGTGCCCACTGATGTGGGGGCAGCTGAAACTTCAGCACCCATGTCCAACCCAGCTGGACTGAGGTTCTGTAACTCCACCAGCTGCAAATTCATTGAAGCCCAACTCCTGATGGGCAGCACCTCGCTTCCCGAGGGCTAACCTGGATGTGATCTGAAGGGGAATGAACATATTCTAGGAGGCCACTTAAGTTAGACACAGGAGATGAAGGGAATCCACAGACCCCCACTCTCTGCCCTTCCTTCCACAACCTGCTTGGAGTCCTGCTGCTCTCTGGTAAGCTTCCGGAAATAATTCCCACCACCCACTGAGCATGCAACCGGGTCCAGGTCTCTTGCTAAAGCTGTGGCCAGCTTAGGAAGATGACCCTGTATTTTCTTCCCTCTTTCCCTTTCTTACTTTCATTTTCCTTTAGACTCGCTGCCCTGGCACTAAATCATGTATACTTTGCCTAGGGCTCTGTTTTCTGGAGAATCAGAGAACAGGGCATTGAGCCTGTTTCCTGGGATCCTCTCACGCCAGCTTTCCATGGAGATGTCCCCGGGAAGTGCTAGGTTAAAGGGCTCTTTGGTGGGATGCAGTCTCACCTTCGTAAGAGCACATCCTTCCAGCTGCAAATTTCCTATTGCTCTGAATTCTCCTCTCAAGAGAGAAAAAAAAAGACTGAACGGGACTGGAGCAATAGCACAGCAAGTAGGGTGTTTGCCTTGCACGCGGCTGACCCAGGTTCGATTCCCAGCAACCCATATGGTCCCCCGAGCACCGCCAGGAGTAATTCCTGAGTGCAGAGCCAGGAGTAACCCCTGAGCATTGCTGGGTGTGACCCCAAAAAGCCAAAAAAAAAAAAATGAAGACTGAAGGAAACTCCAGCTCCTTTGGTAGTAATTGGTAGAGTGCTGTGCATTTATTAAAACAACATGTAACACAAACTGAGTTACCCATTTGTCTGGGCCAAACACTGAGGTACAGTACAGAAGCCCTTGCCAGGCCCGTCCACAGTCCTGCACCGAGAGGAAACAGTACTCTGTCCTCCTGCCTTTTTTCTCTTCTATTGCCCTCATACAACAACCAGGCTTTATCATACAAAAGTTCCTTTACAAAAAGCACCAAATTGGCATTCATATACAGGTATATACAAAAATCACATTTAAAAAATGTACAAAATACTTCATTTTGCACCAATGTAGAAAAGTGTTCTGTGTGTGGTTGTTTCCAGCACATTTTCAATTCTGGTTTGGCGGCTGCCAGACTGACACAGTAGTGGGAGTCCTACATCTAGTCCCTGCTCTCGGAGCAAAGAGGAAACACAACTTCCCGGTACCCCACCAGGGGCCCCAACCCTCCCACCCTGGGTCCGTCCCCACCCTCCCCGGTCTCTGCATCTAGAGGGTCTCTCCCTCATTCAGCTTCTTACTGGTGGCCTGAAAAGAAAAAGCAAAGAAACACCAGGTGAGACACAACTCTGGGAAGTCAAAGTTTACCAAGATGCAGAGATAAAGACCAAATCCAACTCCTACCTGCCTCTTTCCATTTTATTTCTTTATTATTTTCTCCTTTATTTATTTTTATATCTATTTCTTTGTTTTTATTTTATGGTACAAAGGATTGAATCCAGGGCCTCTCACTTGATGTAGCTCTTACTACTGAGTTACACGAGGCTCCTGGCCTTATATCTTGCTTAATTTTTTTTTTTTTTTTAAAGATTTTGAGTGTACTGGGGTTGGAGCGATAGCACAGCGGGTAGGGTATTTGCCTTGCACACAGCCAACCCGGGTTCGATTCCCAGCATCCCATATGGTCTCCTGAGCACCGCCAGGAGTAATTCCTGAGTGCAGAGCCAGGAATAACCCCTGTGCATCGCTGGGTGTGACCCAAAAAGCAAAAAAAAAAAAAAAAAAAAAAAAAGATTTTGAGTGTACTGTGCTGAGTGATGTTAACAAGAAAAAGAGGGCAGACACAGAATGATCTCACTTGTATATGAGATATAAAGAAGTGTAACAGAGAAATAACAGGGGCCGGAGTCATAGTCCAGAGGGTAGGGCATTTGCCTTGCATGAAGCTGATCCCAGTTCGATCCCTGGCATCCCAAATGGTTCTCTGAGCCCCATTAGGAGTAATTCCTGAGTGCAGAGCCAAGAGTAACCCCTGAGCATCACTGGGTGTAAGCCCAAAGAGGGAAGAAGAGAGAGACAGAGAGAGAGACAGAAATAACAAATGCCCAAAAGCAACAGAAACCAAAAACTGGTTTTTAGTAAGAAGCTTACCAATATAGGGGAGATGGGCAGGAGGGGAAGGAGAATAGAATGGGGGGTATTAGGACAATGGTGAAGGAAAGGGGATACTCTGGTGGAAGGTGGGGTGCTGGAATGTTTTAAGTATGAAACTCTGCCATGAACAGTATTATAAGCATGATGCTTAATATAAAATAAATTTTTAACTTTAAAATTTTTGTTTTGCACCCAAAAGGAGAGAGAGAGAGAACAGAGGGGAATGCCCTGCCACAGAGGCAGGGTGGGCTGGGGGGATGGGGGGTGGGAGGGATACTGGGATCCGTGGTGGTGGGAAATGGGCACCGGTGGAGGGATGGGTATTTGATCATTGTATAATTGAAACCCAAGCACAAAAATGTGTAAGTCTACAACTGTACCTCATGATGTCTCACTATTAAAAATTTTTTTAATAAAAAAAAATTTTGTTTTGGCTTTTGGGTCACACCCAGTGATGCTCAAGGGTTATTCCTGGATCTGCACTCAGGAATTACTCCTGGTGGTTCTTGAGGGCCATATAGGATGCCAGGGACTAAACTCAGGTAAGCCATGTGCAAGGCAGGGGCCCTACCACTCTGCCATCACTCCAGCCACATACAGCACTTCTCAGGTGCTTGGGGTTGCTCCCAGCAAGGCTCTGGGGAACCATATGGTACCGGGGATCAGATATGGGACCTTCATGTGCATAGCACATGCTCAGCCTGTTGAGCTACTTCCCTAGTTTCAAATATAATACATGCTAGAGGAGAAAAGGATTCTTTTGTTGTTAAACAGGGGCCACATACAGTAGGTCTTTACCTTTAATTGGTTTAAAACACATCTAGGGGGGCTAGAGCGATAGCACAGTGGGTAGGGTGTTTGCCTTGCACACAGCCAACCCAGGTTGGATTCCCACATCCCATATGGTCCCCTGAGCACCGCCAGGAGTAATTCCTGAGTGCATGAGCCAGGAGTAGTCCCTGTGCATCACCAGGTGTGACCCAAAAAGTAAAAAGAAATAAACACCCACATATAGGGAGGAGGCCAGAGTGCCAGGCTCCAGCATCCCCCCACTCTCCACCTCTGCACCGCCCCCCCTCCCCGCCACTCCCAGTCTGCTCTGTGGGAAATCTCCTAGAGCATTGACGGAAAGAGCTCTTGAATGAATGAAAGGATCCCTCACCTTCGTCCTTCCCCTCCATGGGCTCTTCCTCTTCCTGATCCTCTTCTTCAATGAACTCTTCCTCTTCCTCATCTGTGTATGACAAAGAATAACTGGGTCAGGATGGGGCCTCGCTGAGCAACCACTCCAGGAACCAGTCCTGAGGAACTCTTTCTCTGTCCCACCCTGCCCTGTCCTGGCTGGAATCAGAGGGTCATGCAGAGACCCATGAGGTGATGGGGTTGCCAAACCACACAGAGCAGGCTCCCTCCCTTCCTGGCTGCCCCTTTCCTCTGCAGCCTCCTGTACCACAGTGGAGTTCTGCCTGTGATTAGAGGGACTTTGAGGAATACTTTGTGCTCTTGCTTCAAAGGACAGATAAACATCAATTGAGGAGAATGGATGAAAACTTCTTGATTCTCAGGGATCACAGTCCTTGTCCCCCAGGAATTTCTCGGCCTTTGAGACCCTCTGGCCTAGCATATCCAGTCAACTCTCCTTGGCCTCCAGAGTGAGGGCTACAGGGTAGGGGCACTTTTGAGGAGTGGGCACCTACTGGTTAATCCTCAGAAGCTGGGCCCTGCACAGACAGGGACTAACTACAACCTGGGATATCATCTTCAATTTCTACTCCCAGGAAATGTGCCCCTTTCCCACCTCCTCACCCAAGCCTGAGGAGATGACCCCAGAGAGAGAGTATTGGTCCAGAGCGTTGGGGTAAAGCTCAAAACATCTTTCAAAAGACAGCTCAAAGTCTGACCATGGAGTTAAAGGGGTCTGTGTGTATCCCCCCACCCCAGCACATATGTGTCTATTTGCCTGGTTTGGTTTTGTTCTACTGTAATTATTTCTTTGTTTTTGTTATGCCATGAAACCAGAGACTCACAGAAGTGAGGCATGTGTTGTCTCACCAGTCTCACGCCAAGCCTGGACATCTGGCTGTTGTTACATCACCGTAACTAACCCTCCTTATAGCCTCAGACTTAGCAAGGGCTTAGTGTGCCCGACTAAACCAAAGGGTCTTTCAGCCTTGGACCACTGACTGGCTGTGTGGCCTTCCTTGGCTTTATTCCCACACAGACTGCAGGGAGATGAGGCCATAGCAGCCTGTGAAAGGACAGATTCTTCAGCAAGTTCTCAGTATGGGCAGGAGGTAGGGCAGCTGCAACTCCTGAGCACTGGAGGCAGCGTGGGTCCCCAGGGCCCATCTCATTTCAGATCTGAGATCTTAGAGGTAACAGTAAAGTCTACAGCAGTGGGTACCCCCATCACGGTCCATTGTCCTCCCGTTGTTCATCGATTTGCTCGAGCGGGCCCAGTAACGTCTCCATCGTGAGACTTGTTGTTACTGTGTTTGGCATATAGAATACGTCACGGGGAGCTTGCCAGGCTCTGCCATGCGGGCGAGATACTCTCAGGGCTCTCCGAAAAGGGCAAAGGAATCGAACTCAGGTCGGCCATGTTGGCTGCGTGCAAGGCAAACGCTCTACCCACTGTGCTATCGCTCCAGCCCAAGGTGCCCCCATATTTGGTAGCAATTTAGATTTGGGGTTCATTTAAGCCTCACACATAAAGGGGATATGGAATCCAAAAAAAGATTTACCCCCAGCTTTTGAAAGCTGACAAGGGAGCTGACAAGTGCTAAGCTGATAGGTGCTAAGCCTTGCTCTCATGCTAGACTCTTGCCCATTTCTGCAGACCGCTTCCCACTGTCTGTTTCTCTGTCTCCTCTGAGGCTCCCCTCACTGCTGCATTAGAACATTACCTCTCAGACCAAGGTGACTGGCAGCAAGCCTGGATGTTCCCTCTGTTTCTGTTACTAGATACTGAACATAAGCAAGTTAATCTCACCGTTGTCTTCTTCATACGACTTCCTCATGTCCCTTTTTTTTTTTTCCTTTTTGGGTCACACCCAGAAATGCTCAGGGGTTACTCCTGGTTTTGCACTCAGGAATTACTCCTGGTAGTGTACAGGGGACCATATAGGATGCTAGGGATTGAACCCCGGTCGGCCGCTTGCAAGGCAAATGCCCTGCCTGCTGTGCTATCGCTCTGGCCCCTTCCTCATGTCCCTTATTAACTCCTCCTGATTATTGCTAGGGTTACCTTGTGGCAAATATTATAGGTACTTTATATTACAAAAGAGTAATTGTGATCAGGAGTGGGGCTATATTATAGATAAGTCAAGGTTCCCAAGTATGACAAATGCTGACATTTAGAAGCTAAAACCAAGACTTGCTTTGTCAAATAACTTATTTGTGTCTCATACCTTACAAGCTCTTGTTTCTCAACATTTCACTGGAGGTAACAGCATGATGAAATGGCATGCAGATTTTTAATATATTTGGGGAGACCTCTCAAGCATTGTTAGGAGCCTGGGGGTCACTCCTGGTGATACTCAGTTAATTAAGCCAACAATTTAGGGCTAGTGCCTGACAAAGTGGCATTTCTTATGCCCTGCAGTGCCAGAGCTCCCCAGGGCCACCCTGATAATGTTTGGGGGCCTCCAAGGCTATACCCAGTGGTGCTGGGAATTGAATTAGAGTCAAGCAAGTGTCCCCCGTCCTCTTTAACTGTCCCAAAGTCAATGCTAACCCTTGTACTATCTCCCAGGTCCCTATAACTTTTGGGGAAGGCCACTCACTGCTGTGTTCTGGGCTTCCTCCTTGCTCTACTCAAGGATCTCTTCTTTGGAGCCTTGGAGAGCCTATAGAGTGGTGAAGACTGAACCCAGGTCAGCCGCATGCCAGATAAGTGCCTTAATCTCTGTAGTGTCCTCCACACCCCGCCCTCCACCTTTGAGAATTTTTAAAATTAGGAAATGAAATTCAGAAAGGTGGAAGGATTTGCTCAAAAATACTAAGAGGCAGATCTGGGACTTGAATTGTGGTCTGCCTGATTCAGATGCCAGGCTTTTCCTGCTGCCTGAAGATGGCTCATGCAATGAATCCCCACACAGCTGAGTCAGCCTAAAATTATGTCCCGGGCACTCTGCTAGGCTCTAGGTACACCCAAATGTAGAGGGTATGAGTTTGACTTCAAGGCTGGGAATCTCCGCTACTGCACTGGCCTCCATAGAGGGCTCAGTGGGAAGGGGTCCTGCAGGGAAAGAGACAAGTGTCCCCACCACCTCCTTTTTTTTTCCTTTTTTGGGTCACACTTAGAGGTTACTCCTAGCTCTGTCTCAGGAATTACTCCTGGTGGTGCTCATCAGGGGTTCATATGAGATGCCAGGGATCAAACCCAGCTTGGCTATGTGCAAAGCAAGTGCCCTACCTGCTGTACCATCGCTCAGACCCCAATCCCCACCACCTCTTCACCTGTTCCAAAGTCGATGGCCCTCAGGGTGTCTGCTATGTGCTCTAAGTCCACGGTAAAGTAATCCATGTTCTCAAAACCCTGCTCTGTCTTGCCCAGTTGGCAACCCTTGGAAGCCTCCACAATGCTGTGAGGAGGGAAGGAGAGAGACAGAGTGACAGTGAGATACTGGGTGGTACCGGGGTGTCAGGGTGTCAGCCTCACCCCCCAACGGTATACATGCGAAAGCTCAAACTCAGGCTTAGAGGCTCCCTCTAGAGCAGGCATGGGGAAATGTTTTCTGCTAAGGGCCATTTGGAAATTAGTAACATCACGTATAACACTTACAACACAGGACATACAATGCAGGTGGTCGGGCCACAGGGTGGTAGATGAGAAGCATGTCCATCTTTCATGTACTGCCAGTCCACAGGACTTCATAGGCATTGTATGGCCCGCAGACTGGACATGCCCTCCCTCCCCATCCCTGCAAGGGGGAGGATTTCCTGTCCTGTCAGAAGCAGAATAGGCCCTGGCAGACCTAATGCCAAGGGGGAGCCCACTGGACAGAATTCAGAGGCCCAGGTAGGAAGCAAGGCTTGCATCACAGCCCTGGGGGAGACACTGACCTTTTGATGAGCTGCTTGGCACTCTGGCAGAGAGAGGGAAAGAGAGCAGAGGGTTAGGAGGGCAGAAGGGGTAGCCCCAGGAAATCGATAAAACTGGAGACTCGGGGCTTCAGACTGGCTGTTCCCTGACCCAGGGGTGACCTCTGTGCTGTCCTGAGCTGAATAGAACTTGCATCTTTCCTCCCTGTGCATGTCTGCCCAGACCCTGGTCATCACTCTGGACCCTGTCATTGTCCTGACAGGAAGCTTGGATTCTAGTATTGATCACCATGCTTCAATCCTGAAATCTCCAAGCTGAGAAGCATAACCTAGTTGCCTTTTATGCCCAATGACAAGCACAAAGCCCATAATAAATACTTAGGAAAGTTTAACTAAACTCAAAACTCTTAGAATTGGTCCTTTTCTGCCTCCCCCAACAAGCTCTTCTAGGGCAGGGCTGTGTCTGCATCATCTCTGTGTCTGGCTATGGCAGTTAAGACTATCGGGACTGGGTCAAATAGTTGTATGCCCAATTTACAGATAAAGAAACAGAGGGTCAGGGAAGTCTAAATGGGAAAGTGGTTGAGTGAAAGTGACTCTGCCCATACCCTCCCAGTCCTGCTCACCAAGAGAAAGATGGCTCCTCCTGGCTCATCTAGGGACTGGATGGCAGTCTCCACCAGCTTGGTGGACTTCTCCAGCTGCTCCCGGTACTGCTGGATGAGGGCCTCAATGAAGCTGAGCTTCTCCTCCTGCTCCTGTGTGATCTGCTGTAGCAACTCACTTTTCTTCTCATCCAGGATGGCATACAGGGCATCAAACTTCCGACTCAACTCTTCCTTCACCTGGTGGCTGTTCTCCTGGTGACAGAAATCATGGTGTCAGTTTCTCTGGGTCCTCCTCTGGGTCCTACACTTCCTTCCTGAGCTGGGTGAACTAGGAAGACACAATCTAAAACTCAGAGAGATCTTACCATACTCCCATTTTCTGGAAGACAAGTAAAGGCTTAGCTAGAAGGAAGCACCCAGGACCGCTTAGCACACCAGCCACCTTTGGCAAGGTTAATGTCAGAGAGAAAGTCATGACCTTTCTGAGAAATACAGGACCAGAGAGAATAAAATGCTTTAAACATAGACTTTATATGTGAGAGGCCTGAGTTCCATCCCAGTCACCACATGATCCTTCAAAAACTGCCAGGATAGGGCCAGAGCAATAGTGCAGTGGATAGAGCACTTGCCTTGCATGCAGCTGACCCAGTTTTGATCCCTGGCATCCCATATGGTCCCCTGAGGACTACCAGGAGTGGTCCCTAAGCTCAAAGATAGAAGTAATTCCTGAGCACTGCTGTGTGTGTGTGTGTGGGGGGGGGGGGGGGACCCTGTCAGGAGAAACAGCAGAGCAGAGAACCAGGAGGAGCTCCTGAAAGCCCCCTCCTCAAAATACACTCTTGGGTGACATGGAATGATATATTTGGGGCTTCCTGGTAACTCCAACTGCTCCTCTATGTCAGTATCAGGACTTATTTTACCTGGCCCCAGCATACATGGACAAACAGTTGTCCTTGTACTGACCCCCTCGCTGAGGCTGCAACACAGATGCTCCATCTGAGTTTTCTTAGGCACACAATGGCCGAGTAACAACAGCATCTCACCAGACTCATCATCCTGCAGACCAGGAGCCCCTCATGGGTAGTAACAATGTCCCCATCCTTCCTTTGAGTCTATCCTTCAGACATCTCTTCCTCCACCAGCAAGAGGATGATCCCTTCCCACAGTGAGCCCCAGGTTCACACCCCAGGTGGAGAGAGAAAATCATGAATACTCTTTTTATTTTTATTGAATCACTGTGGGAAAGGTTACAAAGCTTTCAGGTTTAGGTCTCAGTCATGCAAATATCAAACACATTTCCCTTTACCAATACTTATTTTTTACCATGAAGAACCCCAATAAAACCCCACCCCCCACCCCTCCCAGTCCCTGTGAGGCAGATGAATTCTAGTTAACACTCTATCTGCTTTGATTAGATTCATTGTTTCAATAAAAGATCATGAATACTCTTACAGGAAGAGACAGTTACTTCTGCCCCTACAATCTTGCTATTCAAAGTGTCATCTAGGGACCAGCAAACAGGGCAAAGTCTAGGAGCTTGGTGGACATGGAGGACCTCATGCTTCATTTTAGACCTGCTGAATCACAACTTGAATTTTATTTATTTTATTTTTTGCAGTCATAGGGATCAAACCCAGAGTCTGAGATACGCAAGGCAAGTGCTCTAGAGCTGTCACATCTCCTGCTCACAACTTGAATTTTCTTTTTCTCTTTCCTTCTTTCTCTCTTTCCTTCTTCCTTTCCTTTCTTTCTTTCTTTCTTTCTTTCTTTCTTTCTTTCTTTCTTTCTTTCCCTATCTCTCTCTTTTTCTCTTTTTGTCTTCACATTCAGAGATGCTCAGGGGCTATCCTTGCTCTGTGCTAAAGGATCACTCCTGAAAGTGCTCAGAGAACCATATGTGATGCCAGGGATCAAACCAGGGTAGGCAGGGTGTAAAGCAAACACCTTAACCTCATACTACCTCTCTTGCCCCACAAGTTGAATTTTAATATGATCCCAGGGTGATATGTATGCATTTTCAAGTTTGAGATCTTAGTGTCCAGGAGATAGCTTAAAAGGCTGGAACTCATGTTTTGCTTTGCATGGTGGAGGCCCAGGTTTGATCCCTGACACTGCATGGTCCTTAGAGCCTAGCCAGGAACTGATCCAGGTGTGGTCTGTGAGTACTGCCATGTGACCCAAAGACCAAATATAAATAAATTTTAAAAATTAAGTTTTAGGGCATCTTGGGGGCACTGTGTCCAGGGCGTGAGACCCCAGGACACCGGAGATGGCGCCATCCAGCCGCGCACTCAGGAGGGCAGCTGTGGGGACAAGGGATTCCCCTTGAAGCAGGGCTGCCAGGCTGCTGTGAGGATGTGGCCCTCAGGGTCCCCTGGGCACAAGGCCGGGCAGGGCCCTGCTCTGCTGGAGGCTGGGACATCTGTGCCCACGAGGGCAGATGTGCAGCGGCCGGGCAGGAGGAAGTTTTAGGGACCAGAATGATAGTAGAGCAGGTAGGGCATTTGCCTTATATGAGGCTTGATCCAAGCCCACCAGGAGTGATCCCTGAATGCAGAGCCAGGAGTAAACCCTAAGCACCATCAGATGAGGCCAAAAAACAAGAATAATTGAAAAAAAAAAAGGAGTTTGAGAAGTTTTTGAATACAGCATTCTAGAAAATACTACCCTAAGAACAACTTATAGTGGTTGGAATGATAGGGTAGGGCATTCGCCTTGCACACAGCTAACCCAGATTCGATTCCCAGCATCCCATATGGTCCTCTGAGCACCGCCAGGAGTAATTCCTGAGTGAAGAGCCAGGAGTAACCCCTGTGCACTGCCGGGTATGATCCAAAAAAAAAAAAAAAAGAACAACTGGTAGTTGCTGGAGTGATAGCACAGTGGGTAGGGCATTTGCCTTGCACGTGGCTGTGCCCAAGTTCGATTCCCAGCATTCCACATGGTCCCCCGAGCACTGCCAGGAGTAACTCCTGAGTGAAGAGGCAGGAGTAACCCCTGTGCATGGCATGGTGTGACCCAAAAAGCAAAAAAAAAAGCAAAAAAAAAGAACGACTGGTAAATAAATACAAGAATTATTGGCCTTCGGCTGGAGCAGTAGTTTAGCAGGTAGAGCATTTGGTTTGCACACAGCTGACCTTGTGTCCGGGAGATAGCTCAAAATGCTGGAGCTCATGTTTTGCATGGGAGAGGCCCAGGTTCAATCCCAAGCACCACATATATTATCCTAACCACTGCCAGAAGTGATCTATGAGCACAGAGTCAGGAGTAAGCCCTGAGCACAGCTGGATGTGGCCCAAAAAACTAACATAAAAAAATTATTGGCTGGACTCTCTCTTAGGCCAGGGACTGGTCTGTCCTGTTTCTTCAGGCAGGGCCTAGCACACGGCTATGCTGACAAAGCATTCGGTGAATGAGCAGGTGAATGGGTTGGTTAGTCCCTCCCAGGTCATCCCTGCTTGACCACTACTCCAGGTCACCACCCAGGAACCAGGGGAGGAGTCCCACTGCCCCGGAGAGCTGTTGATCCCTCACCTTGGTCACTCGACAGGAGTCTTCCAGCTGGGTGATGATGGTCTGCACACGGTCGTTCCCCGCCACCAGCATGGAGATACAGTTACTCAGCTCTGTCTAGATGGGAGCGGGGTGGGAAGCCAGAGAGGAGAGACAGAATCATCTCAGGACTGCCCCTCTCCAGAGTGAGAGCGAGTTAGGGCCCTGTTCCCTTCATTATGAGAGTGGGGGGGTCTAGAGCCCTCTTGCTGAAGTGCAGCTCAGACCCAGAGCAGACTGTCTGAGAGATGCTGCATCTCTTATTTAACTGACATGGCCCAGAGGCAGAAGTGAACTGCCCCAAACTCACAGCAGGGGACACGCAGAGGAGGAGTTTATTTCTAGGAATGAAGCAACAAAGAAAGAACTGGAGGGGTCAGGATGGTGGGGCTTCCTCAGGCTCAGGAATCCAGCAGAGGGCTACACCCCTCCTTCTGTTGTGGACCAGAATCCAGAATGCTGAGACCCCCAGATGGAGTGCCGACCCTGGGCGGATCTCCTAGAACAATTTCCCCTGAAGGAAGCACTTTATATCTGTATTTGTGTTTAACCAACCCCATGTTTATATTTATGTTCAACTAAACCTGTTTATACTTATATTTGACCACACCCTGAGATATGTAAAAGTCTAACCCAACTAAAGAATGTTTGTTGTTCTTCTGATATTTAATGATTCTAATCAATAAAAACTGTAAGCTGAGGTCAGCCAGGGCTCTCAATCCACGAGGCTGTTAGCCTCCTGACTTCAGGCTTTTTCTCTCTTATTTCTATCTCTTAACCCTCACGATGGGATGAAGTGATAGCACAGCCGGTAGGCCATTTGCTTTGCAGCCGACACGGCCGACCCGAGTTCAATTCCTCCGTCCCTCTCGGAGAGCCCGGCAAGCTGCCGAGAGTATCTCGCCCACACAGCAAAGCCTGGCAAGCTACCCATGACATATTTGATATGCCAAACACAGTAACAAGTCTCACAATGTTACTGGGCCCGCTCGAACAAATTGATGAACAACAGGAGGTCAGTGACAGTGAACCCTCACGATGCCTCTGCTTCAGGTTTGTTCACCCAGGGCTGGTCCCCTGCATCCCTCTGCTGTGGGGAGGTGACCAGCACAGGAGAAAGTGCGTGGGGCTCACAGCACGCTGCAGGGCCAGGCAGCCACCTCCCTGGGAAGGCCCAGCCAGTCCCCTGGACGGGCTGTTCCCGAGCAGCCAGCTCAGCACATCTGAGGAGAGGAGTCCACAGTCTTGTGTGGGGTGTGGCCTGGCAGTTACCTTCTGTCCCTGAAAGACGCTCTGCAGCGGGGCCACTTCACAGGCCTGGTGTGCCCCGAACACCTTGCACATGGAGCACGTGGGCACCTCGCACGTGAGACAGTAGATGTTGATCTTTTCGTCTTCGTGCTCCTTGCACATAGGGTGGCTGCCCTTCTGCAGGGGCCGGCTGTAGGGAATAAGAGTCAGTTAGAGGTGGTGGCACCTAGTCTTGTCTCTCCCACTGCCACAGGAAGCCACCCCAGATCTATGGCCTGAGCTCCCTGTGGTAGCTGTCCCCAATTCTTTTCTCTGCCGACCTGGTTGATTCACCCCTTCTTAGTTACCTCACCTTAACTCTGTCTCCCGAGTAGCCAGGACTACAGAATGCTCCCACACCCCCCAGTCCTTTCCTTTACATCCTCTGGGGAGCCAAGATCAGGGGAGCCAATGACAGCACAGGTTTCCCACTATTCGGGACACAAACTTTATTGATGAAGGTGGCTTTAGGCTCCTTCGGCTCAAAGGCCCTGCACAGGCTCATAGAGTCTCCAGAGTCAGACCTAGAGACAATTTTTTCTTTTTTTTCTTTTTGCTTTTGCATTTGGATCATACCTAGTAGTGCTCAGGGGTTACTCCCAGCTCTGCACTCAGAAATTACTCCTGGCAGTGTTTGGAGGGACCATATGGGATGACAGGGATCAAACCAGGGATCATGCCAAGGTTGGCCACATGCAAGGCAAGCACCCTACCTGCTATACTATCCCTCTTCATTCTTTCCTTCCTTCCTTCCTTCCTTCCTTCCTTCCTTCCTTCCTTCCTTCCTTCCTTCCTTCCCTCCTTCCTTCCTCCCTACCTTCCTTCCTTCACTCCTCCTTTCCCCCCTCCCTTCCTTCCTTCCTCCCTTCATCCCTTCCTTCCTTTTTTCCTTCCTCCCTCCCTCCTTTCCTCCCTCCAACATTTCCTTCCCTATTTTCTTCCCTCCTTTTTTCATTTCTGCCTTTCTTTCTTTCTTCTTTTTTTTGGGGGTGGGACTACATCTGGCAGTGTTTGGGGGTTCCCCATCTTTGCAGGAACACTCCTGATGATGCTGGGGGAATCACATGGTGCTGGAGATAGAACCCAGCCTTCCTGCATACAAAGCATACACTCACTCTGTTGAGCAATCTCTGGAGTCTTTCAATAAGGAGAAACTGACTCAATGCTAGAACCCCTGACCTACATGGTGAGGCCCCAGGTTGGCTCCCTGAGACTTCCCAAAAATATTAGGGAAGGTTTTATGGTGCTCAGGACTTATTCCTGGCTCTGTGCTCAGGGATCACTCCAAGTATGCTCTGGGAACTATATTCTATGCCAGGGATAGAACTAGGGTACAGTAGTACAATTAGTTATTTGCCTTGGGCTGGAGCAATATCAAAGTGGGTAGGGCATTTGCCTTGCACGCAGCCGACCTGGGTTCAATTCCTCCATCCCCCTCAGAGACCCCAGCAAGCTACCGAGAGTATCCCACCTGCACAGCAGAGCCTGGCAAGCTACCGTGGCGTATTCAATATGCTAAAAACAGTAACAACAAGTCTCAATGGAGAAGTTATTGGTGCCCGCTCAAGCAAATCGATGAACAATGAGAGAACAGTGCTACAGACAGTGCTACAGGTATTTTGGGGGGGGGGGGGGGTGTCACACCCGGCGATGCACAGGAGTTACTCCTGGTTCTTGCACTCAGGAATCACTCCTGGCAGTGCTCGGGGGACCATATGGGATGCTGGGAATAGAACCTGGGTCGGCTGCGTGCAAGGCAAATGCCCTACCTGCTGTGCTATTGCTCCAGCCCCAGTGCTACAGGTATTTGCCTTGAAAAAAAGTTGTTTTAAAACGAAGAGGAAACTAGGTGCCAGAAAGGGGAACTGACTTGCCAGAGGTTGTCCGGCAAGCCGGGGCTGAACAGGTTAGAGTTTGTTAGCTCTAATTATAGTTCTTACTGCCTTGGTTCCTGCAGATCAGATTGGGCATGAAGCAATTTATACTTGTGGCCTCATTCAATTCTATATTTAATCACTAGACTGTAATCTTCATCAAAGCAGGGAAATGTGCCAGTTCTCTTCACCCCTGAATCTACAATGCACATTGCCTGGAATGAGGAGGGGTATTCAAATACAGGTGAGTGTGCCATGAGGGTGCAACCCAGAACATGCCCTAACTTCCCTCCAGGGCCAGGAGATTCCTTCTTTTCTTGCTTCCCAAGCACAGGGAGAGTGTCTCTCTCCCTGTTTCTCTCCATCTTTCTCTGTAGAGGCCCGTATTCTCAGTATGTCTCTCAGAATCGCAATCACCTCACATCTGGGATTCAGTGGAGGGGTGGGGGGTAGGGGGTGGAGGTCCAGATCCAATCTCTCAATAAGACTGTGCATTGAGGGCCAAGCACTGGCTGCAGCTCTGCTAAGTTACCCCTCCCTAATACAGCAGGTGTCTAATAAATGTAAAATGGTGACTGTCCCCATCAAAGTCAGTGCCTCACCTCTGTTCTTAACACTGATCACACCACAAGCTTTACAGTTCCCACAAGTTTTTAACTCAGCATCTTCCACGGATCTCTTTTTGCAACTTTTATCCCCAGACTCCCCACACTGCGACAGGGTCTGCCTTTTGTCACTTCTCTCTATCCCCAAGGAAGGGATCAGGAGACACAGAGATGAGGCAAGAGCTTGAGGGTCTGGGACCTTCCGGGAGAGTGAAGGTTCAGAGACTAACCCAAGGTACCAAAGAGAATATTCAGAGATAAACCCAAGGGATCGATAATTACAGTGCGTAGGACATTTGCCTTGCATGCAGCTGACCTAGGTTCTATCCCTGACATCCCAGATGGCCCCCTAAGCATCACCAGGCGTGATCCCTGAGTGAAGAACCAAGAGTAATCCCTGAGTACAGCCATGTGGCCCCCAAACCAAAGCTCACAAAATAGATGAACCCAACATCCTACATGGTAGCACCAGTCAGATTAGCTAGTACAGCTTCCCTGGGTTTGCACATTTTTCTCACAAAATCTGGCTGCTCCAATTTCCTGGGGCAGGACACCACCAACAGGCAGGTGCTTCTCCCCCCTTGAGACCATAAAGACTGTGAGGGTGAGGTTAGCTGGACGTCTGGTCCAGTGGGTCTCGTTAGATAACGTCTCCCTGATCACCGGCTGCTACGGAGACAGCGATCATCACTGTGTAGCCTCCAGCATCCCCAAGTTCCACCTATGATTAAGTGGTTACTTTACAGACAGGGAGTCTTGGAGCTGGATCATATCATGACCCAGACCCAAGTATTCCACTTCCTCACCAGGAAACCTGGAGTCATTGAACCTGCAGCTCTTTGAGTCTCAGCTTCTCATCTGTGAAACTGGGATGAGCAAAGTCACACCTGATCCACAGTGTATACAGTACCAGGACAAAGCATTCCTTGATGGTGCCTGGCTCTGTGCCTCCCCGCAGAGGTGAGGAAAGCTTTTGCTCTCCTTACAGAGAAACAGACAATGTCCTCACAGGTTCCTTCTCTGCTTCTCAAGGCCCCAGTGCCCTGCTCTCCCTCTCCCATCACTGGTTTCAGTATCTCCCTGGAGGGCCGGTCAATGTCTGGGTCACTTCCTGTTCCAAGTATTAGCAAGAGTCTGGCTTCGGGGGGGTGGGGGGTGCATCAATGAGCCTTAGATACCGCTGAATGATGTGGCTCTCCCTGCCAGAGAAACCAGAGCACAAGCAGAGCTAGGAGGGAAGAGCCTGGAACTGGGCGAGCAGCAAGCACACCCACCCGGAGCACTCCTGCTTGTAGATGTCGATGATGTTCTCCACCAGCAAATTCCGTTGCAGCCCGTACACCCCGTGACGGTCCATGATCACCTCGTGGCGGCAGGAGGGACAGCGGAAGCGGCCTCCAGACATGGACACCGAGCCACCCCGGTTGGTCCAGTAGGGATTCGCAGCCTGTGGGGGGCCAGGGCAGGGGTGAGGCCTGGGTTCTCTCCTCAGCCCCTTCCCTTTCTCGTCTCCTCCCATCCTTCCTTCCCCCTGCTTCCACCAACCCCTCTTGGCAAACCACAGGACTGAGAGCTCCGGAGAAGCAACTGAGCAATTAACAAAGCAGTCCTGTAGGTTCCTCATGGTTATTCTCAGAATGACTCTGGGACAGCAAGACACCTCTCTAGGCCCGCAATATCCCTCTCTAGTTGCCGGTTCATGAAGTGGGCGTTAGCATGAGGGCCACCTCTTAGGGTTGTGACTTGAAAGAGAAAACTGTGCTTCTGGGGAACCCCGAGTCCTGTTTTCTAGCCAGGTCATCCATTCTTTTTCCAAGGAGACAGAGCCCTGCCGACCCCTCTAGGGGCAGCCCCACTCCACTGTCTGCTCCCCCTTCCCCAGACCGCTGGGCTCCTGCCACAAAAGCTGGCTCCAGCTAGCCTCTGGTTTCTCTCTCTTCTCAGCCTGCCTGCCCCACTTATCGCTCCCTTCAGGCATTTGACTCCTGATTGGAGAGTCAACTGAGGTGCTGAAGCAGGGTGGGGATGAGAAACATGAGCAGTGGAGAAGGAACAGCAGCCAGAGCCCCTTCCCTAGCTGCCTCGGCCTCTCCAGAGGCCTCTGTGGGGCTTCTCAGCAGAGGGAAAGGCGCCAGTCCTCAGTGGGAAGCGCCCTGTGCTAGAGAGAGAGGCTTTTGTGCTGGGGAGCCTACTAACCACCCACTAGGAGACCCCAGCCTTCAGCCAAACCCCGTCTGACCTGGAAGATATCATTGGCACACTTCCGGCAGAGATTGTGCTGGCAGGGCAGGATGACCACAGGCTTGGTGAACATCTCCAGGCAGATGGGACAGATCAGCTGCTTTTCCAGGTTCTCCATGGGGTTCCCATCCTGGATCAGGCTGGATTTATAATCCATCTGGGTGGAACGCACAGGAGCCCAGCTGGCTGCCTCCTTCACGACTCTAAGAGACTCGGGGGTCTCGCCTTTGTCACAAAACTCCCGCCTGGAGCCTCTTTGCCCTCTTCTGGCGCCGGAAATCTGTCTTGGGCTGAGGTCCCTCTGATATTTATAGCGAGCCCCTGGTCACATGAGCCCCAGGCGGGGACCAGCTGAACATTCCGAGGCCAAGTGGCTGGCGGGGCTTGAGTTTCCTCCAGGCCCGAGAGACCAGACTCTCACATCACATGTGGGCATGAGCAATCACTGTTCCCCCGCCACGATGGGGGTCGTAAACAAGAACAGCCTGTCCAAGGGCGGGCTTGGGGGAAAGACAGTCTCGTTTTTTCTCCAGAAACTGTTATCTATCTTCCCATACTGGGCTGGGGAGCTCAGATCGAACAGCAAGGGGACCCCTGAGGTTTGCAGCTTTAACCAGTCCCCACTCAGTGATCTCAGGCAGGTCCATCCTCCCCTCTCGAGTACTGAGCAGTGCCTAAATTGAATATCAGGAGAGTCTCTGATGCTGTCCCTGAACTTCCCTTCCTGACCTTGGCATAATATTGGCTTCTTGGTCATTCTGCCCCTCCATCATTATAGCTGGCAGGACTTCCGTGAAAGGAAGCCCATTCCCCTCATTTTGAAGATCCTGACACCGAGGTGTAGAGAAGGAAAGAACTTCCTTCAAAGTCACTTAGAAAAGAAGTGGCAGAGGGCTGGGAGATGGTACAGCAGTTAGGGCACTTACATAGCATGTGCTTGTCCTGAGTTCCCTTCCCAGTACCATTTGATCCCCAAAGCATCACCAGGTACAGCCCAAGTGCTCCCTGGTTATCACTAGAGTGGCTCAGGTAACTACAGATACCACAGGAAGGACCTAAGCAGAACTGCATTCAGGGGGCTGGAGAGATAGTACAGCAGGTAAGGTACTTGCCTTGCAGGGAACTGACCTGACTCCAATCCCCAGCACTGCATATGGTCCCCTGAGCCCTGCTAGGAAAAATCCCTGAGCACAGAACTGGTGTGTAAGCCCAAAACAAAAACAAAGAACCACATAGTCAATCAGCACTTGGACTGAACATTCAGCCAGTTTGCTGAGAATTACTGAAGTGTGGGAGCAGGTAGGCTGGTCCTCCTGAGCACGACTGGGGAGGTCCCTTTGGGAAGGAAGGAAGGAAGGAAGGAAGGAAGGAAGGAAGGAAGGAAGGAAGGAAGGAAGGAAAAAAGGTAGGAAGGAAGGAAGGAAGGAAGGAAGGAAGGAAAGAAGGAAGGAAGGAAAGAAGGGAGGGAGGGAGGAAATGGCAAAGCTAGGAAACGTAGTCACTTGTCAGGTAATTTTCTGGGTATCAATCACATCAGGTACCATGGTGACAAACAAATGAATAACCCTTTTCCCTGTCAGAGTTTAGCAAGGGAGACAGTCAGAGATCAGGCCTTGTCTATCCCAGAGAGGCCAGGACCTCACAGAAGGGGAAGGAGAAAAGCTTGAGTCTGGGCTAGAGAGGAGTGGATGGTTGGGGCGAAGGGACAAGGCCTAGTGAGCAAGGAGGGCTAAGGAAACAATCTGGGCAACAAGAGGAGGGGGAGGGGACCTAGACATGGGTCTGGAGAATTTCAAGGTGAGGACGCTCCCCCCAAATGCTAATGACTAGTTTTTGCTATGTACTGATTAGCCAAGAGAGGTGAGGAAGTGATGCCATGGACAAGGACTGCAGGCCCAGAGAGGTCAAATAACTTGATGAGATAATCCAGACTTCCAGAGGGGCTCTAAGACCTGAATCCAGTTCTATTTAACTCAGTTATACTTATCTTGGTGTCTCTTCTGTTTGGTTTGGTTTGGTTTGGTTTCAGGGCTACACTTAGCAATGCTCAGGGCTTATTCCTGCCTCTATGCTCAGGGTTATTCCTGGCAAGACTTGGGGGACTATATGCAGTGCCAAGTATTTTGAAGCCGTAGCCCTGAACTATCTTTCCAGTCCTCTTTCCATCCACTTTGTAACCATGGGGGAACATCCCCAGGCCAGCCTGGCCTTACAGAAGGAAGCGGAGGACTGACGAGGCCACCCTCCCTCCTTTAGCCAACCATCTGAGATGGTGGGCAACACTGTCCTTCTGGAAGATGAGCCTCTCCACCACCACTGAGACAAAAGCAGAAGCCTGTCCTGGGGATCTCACTCTCTTTTACTAAAGTGATGAAGTTAGGGACAAGGGGTGGTCAAGATGGAAAACACCTGCTAAAAAGCAAGGTAAGGGAAGAAGCTTCATTCTTGCCTTTTAATGGGTTTGTGAGAGGTTGGGGTGTCCCCCTACCAGCAATTGAAAAAGGACAATTCTTCAGGAAAGAAATCAACTGACTGAGGCTGAAGTGATAATGCAGGGGTAAAAGCACCTTGCAGGCAGCTGACCCTGATTCAATCCCAGGCACCTGCATACAGTTCCATGAGCACTGACAGGGGTCACTCCTGAGCACAGAGTGAGGAGTAGCCCTAAACCCTGCAAGGTATGGCCCTAATAGTTTACCTCCAAGAAAAGCATTAGGAATTGGAGTGATAGTACAGTGTGTAGGGTGCTTGCCTTGCATGCAGCCAACCCAAGTTCAATTCCCAGAATCCCCTATGGTCCCCCAAGCCCCTCCAGGACTGATTTCTGAGTGCAGAGCCAGAAGCAAACCCTGAGAATCCCCATGTGTGATTGAAAAACAAACAAACAAACAAAGCTCTGGGGTCATAGATTTATAACTGTGCTGCCAATTTATCTATCTAGAACCTGTTAACTAAGTAAGACGTGAAATAAGAAATGTCACCAAAGTGCCATGATTTTTTCTTACTTGCAGCAGTGAGCACTCTTGTCATTGATTAATTCACTCCTATAGGCCAGTGGTCCACAAATATTTAACTCCAGTTTAGACTTCTCTCTCCTTGAAGCTGGAGATCTGTTGACAGTTTGTACTGGGACGTACCTCAGATTTTTCACTCCCTAAATGGAACACACACCATCTGCCCTGCAAACCATTTTTCTCATCTCATGTCTAAGTGAGCAGCTTTGAGGTCCACCTATCTGCACAGACAGACCAGAAAGCTGAGTCTTGGGTTGCCTCCTCCATCCACCGGACCACTCTACATCAAACAAGACTCCATCCTTGGACCTCACTTGTCATCTTGCCTGGTCTGTGAGTCTTACTCCCCGACTGTGAATACATTGAGGGAAAAACTATCTATTATGTCAGAAGCCACAGTGCCTGGCACATGATGAGTCCTCAGTAATGTGTGTGTGTGTGTATGTGTGTGTGGGTGTGCGCGCGCATGCGCACTTGTGCATGAAGGCTCCACCCAACAGTGGGGTTACCATGTGTGCTGGTAGGGTCAAACTTAAGACTCCCGTGCACTCCAGTCCCTTAAGCCATCTTCCAGCACCCCCCACCCCACCCCAGCAATGTTTCTGGAATGAGCAAATGAGTGAGGTAGATGCCAGGTCACTATCAGACTTCAGGTAGATAAGGTACTTGTTTGAGTTATTTTGACTGGAGACATGATTGCCAGTGGAGAAAAAGTACTGGAAGAAAGGCGTGGGGCTGGGGCTGGGTGTGAGGGGGTTTATGGATTCGAAAGCTTTGGAGAAGAGAGACAGAAGGACATTCCTACCTTCGAGTTGGACATGAAACTCAGAGGTGTTGGAAGTGAAGAGAAAGGGTGAAGTGGGGGGAGGGAGCACAAGAGGCGGTGGAGAAAGTTTGGTGCAGCCACGTGACACACAGAAAAAACTGCCCTAGAGAAGGGATGGAAAGACTGTCTGGGAGCAGAAAAGCCTCACTGATATTTTGATATTTCCCGATTTACTGTTGACATGGTTCTGTTGACTTTGTCCAGTCACACTCAGCAGTCCAGGTGCAAAAGCCAAGCAAATGGACAGTAGGATGAACTCCAGCATGGGCGCTGACCAGGCCAGCACTGCTGAAAGTCAAGGGGTGAGGAAGGGAAATTCCCACTTGGGCCACACTGGGCATCAACACATGCTCTGTCATTCAATCCGCAGAGCAAGCCTGCAGGGGAGGGATTATGATCTCTGCTTTCACGGGGAGGAAATGGGATTCAGAAAGTTAATTAGCTTGACCAAAGCCCTACAGTCACAAGTGGCAGAGCCAAACTGGGGTTCGCATTCAAGGTGGGCTGACCCCTAAACCGGTGCTTCTTGCACCAGAGCAAGCATTGATTGACTTGCATGGCAAGCATTGTACAAAAGCCCTTTCTACCTATCCCCCTGGGAATCCACAAAATAAATCAGGGAGACTAGAACCATAGTGTTGGTTTTTTTTTGACAGTAATGTTTATTAAAACATGGCATACAAAAGAGCATGGTTCTTGCTCTAAGAAAATATTGAATGGCAACATCCAGTTAAGTAAAACCATACTGAAGACAGCAATTTATTTGACCTTAGCAACACGGGCTGCCATCCTACATAATATCTTACAAAAAAATCGGGGCTGGAGCAATAGCACAGTGGGTAGGGCATTTGCCTTGCATGCGGCCGACCCGGGTTCAATTCCCAGCATCCCATATGGTGCCTTGGGCACCGCCAGGGGTAATTCCTGAGCACAGAGCCAGGAGTAATCCCTGTGCATTGCCGGGTGTGACCCAAAAAGAAAAAAAAATCAATGAAGTACACACCAAGCCACAGTCTGTAATCACAAGGTTTTGTGGTCTAAGAGCCACCTGACTTCCAGAAATAAAATGATTTTCTGCAAGAAATACTGGGAACATCATATAAAGAAAGAAAGCAGCAGCAACTGACATTAAGGTGACAGGCTTTTCAAGAAAACTTAAGGGGGAATTGTAGGAGGCAGTCACATTTACAAAGCAGGAAGCAGCATCTTTCCTTGAGCACTGTCAGTAGATATTTAAATTAAGAAACATGAGGGTGTGTGGGAGGAAGGGAGCTTGAGAGAGTACAGCTGGTAAGGTGCTTGCCTTCAAGTGGCTGACCCCGGTTTTGTCTCCAGCACCCCATATGGTTCCCCAGGAGTGATCTCTGAGCAAAGTGCCAGGAGTAAGCCCTGAGTACTACTGGGTGTGGCCTCCTCACAAGAA